ACAGTCCAAAAAACTGTAGTAGACAAAACTAACATGAAGCTACTAATTTTGGGGTAGAATTAATAAACAGTAAAGCACAAGTTAAAAGAATTAAATTGGTCACGTGGTACAAGTTTGCCTTTTGCGGTAAATATGAGTTGTTTTAGTTTAGGGTGTCAGGGATTGGAGATTCCTTGATTCTCACCACAAATTTTCAAGAAACCCTCGGCATCAAACTTAGTCATCATTTCTTTCTTAGAGACAGTTGGTGGTCTCACTTAGTGCAGACACTAAAATAAACCAACGGTCTTGAAAGGATTTATACTGAAACAAACAACAACACTAACAAAAGAAGATAGCACAGGCAAAATGCACGAATGTACTAATAACACTCCTTCAAGTCTAGGTTACGTTGTTTACAATCGGTGATTTGTCCTCAACGAAAGCACTTTCTCATCTGATTTTTTGATTTATTCTTGTTTCTTTTCTTTTTTTTCTTTTCTCTCTCTTTCTTTCATTTTCTTTCTTTCTTTCGTTTCTTAAATTTTGAACACTTTTTTGTTGTTCACATGTCTGACGTTGAGATATGGTAAAACCCCTTTTTGTTGGAAAAATTGTTCAGGGGACCTTATGCGCCTTGCATTGCTTGAAATTCTTCTCTTTTGGCTCAGGTTTTTTTAAAGCGGAAGATGAATCTATTTAAATAGACTGAAGGCTAACAGGCTGTCGGCTCATGACTACGTGTAATTTTTCATTCTCCTCATCATGCAGGGAAAGGTAAGTGAGCAAGTCACGTGAACGTGCGTATAGAGAAAAAGGTGACCTCATGGGTGGCAGTTTCGCGCGCGTTCACGTGATTTGCTTGCCCTACCATCTCTGAGAAGAATAAGGGAGAAAACGCTGAGTCTACTGAGAGCAAGGACTTATACAAGAAATAAATCCTCCGGAGTGATTTTATCCTGTTATTTAGAGAATGCTCTTTTTTAGAAGTAAATTGGACAGTCTTTAGGAGAAACTCCACATCTCAGCTGGTTCTGGGTGTTCAGGTAGTAGGTCTTTCCCGGTTGTGCTCGGCAACTTTTGAGCAACTTTTGGCGTTTGGAGCAACTTTTTGCGGTTCTAGCAACCTCGAGAAAATTTTGCCTTCTGAGCAACTTTTGAGCAAAATATAGGTTTAGAGCACATATCAAGCCCGAAAAAGTCAACGATTTCATAGCAAACTTCAGTTCATGTGAATTTCTTGAATGTTTATTATTTTTTTAATTTTTTTAAAATTAATGATAGCTAAGTTTCCAGCTATTTTTCTTGACCGATGTTAGTTTTATTGTGAAGAACCAGAAATAAAGCTTTTAATTTACCTTTATATAAAAATATTAAGAAATTTAGGTGGCAACTTTTGAAATTTAAGTAGCAACTTTTTGGCATTCCAGTGAGCAACTTTCCAGCATTTTACGAGCACAATCGAGAAAGGCCTATTAGATTCTTGTAATTAATTACCACGTCCACATGATACGAACATCAATCAGCCTTACAATCAAGAGGAGTGGTGACACAAAGTCAGAGAGTGGGAAAAAGGAAGGAAGGAAGAGAAGGAGCTGGGGGAGAGGGAGAGGGAGAGCGGTGTTTTCCCTGCTCGCATGTCTTTCCGCCATCCCGACAATCTGAACGCTTGGAACAGTCTAAATTCATCCATGTTTGGGTGATGTCACGTGGATATCCTTCATCCAGTTTAAGGCTGTGGTCATCCAGTACTGAAGGCTAACAGGCTGTCGGCTCATGACTACGTGTAATTTTTCATTCTCCTCATCATGCAGGGAAAGGTAAGTGAGCAAGTCACGTGAACGTGCGTATAGAGAAAAAGGTGACCTCACGGGTGGCAGTTTCGGGCGCGTTCACGTGATTTGCTTGCCCTACCATCTCTGAGAAGAATAAGGGAGAAAACGCTGAGTCTACTGAGAGCAAGGACTTATACAAGAAATAATTCCTCCGGAGTGATTTTATCCTGTTATTTAGAGAAAGGTCTTTTTTTAGAAGTAAATTGGGCAGTCTTTAGGAGAAACTCTACATCTCAGCTGGTTCTGGGTGTTCAGGTAGTAGGCCTTTCCCGGTTGTGCTCGGCAACTTTTGAGCAACTTTTGGCGTTTGGAGCAACTTTTTGCGGTTCTAGCAACCTCGAGCAAATTTTGCCTTTCTGAGCAACTTTTGAGCAAAATATAGGTTTAGAGCACATATCAAGCCCGAAAAAGTCAACGATTTCATAGCAAACTTCAGTTCATGTGAATTTCTTGAATGTTTATTATTATTTTTAATTTTTTTAAAATTAATGATAGCTAAGTTTCCAGCTATTTTTCTTGACCGATGTTAGTTTTATTTTGAAGAACCAAAAATAAAGGTTTTAATTTACCTTTATATAAAAATATTAAGAAATTTAGGAGGCAACTTTTGAAATTTAAGTAGCAACTTTTTGGCATTCCAGTGAGCAACTTTCCAGCATTTTACGAGCACAATCGGGAAAGGCCTATTAGATAGTGGTGACACAAAGTCAGAGAGTGGGAAAAAGGAAGGAAGGAAGAGAATGAGCTGGGGGAGAGGGAGAGGGAGAGCGGTGTTTTCCCTGCTCGCATGTCTTTCCGCCATCCCTACAATCTGAACGCCTGGAACAGTCTAAATTCATCCATATTTGGGTGATGTCACGTGGATATCCTTCATCCAGTTTAAGGCTGTGGTCATCCAGCCTCCAATAGCTTTTATCTTTGAAGAAGTTCGTTCGCCTGTTTCCACTCCAAGAGATCACGGTGTCCATTGAATGAGGAAGGCCTAGACCGATGGTCAAAAGTCGAATCAAATTTATTGGCAAAATGACCTAGGGGGTCTCCCATATAAAAGTGACGGTGATGCTCGCCTTGTCCCTTAGAGGTGTAAATTGCAGATTTTAGTCTCAGTTAGGGTGTTTGGGATGGAAAGCTACTATATTTGCTCATCCAGGTATCGCTTATTAGCACTGTGCATAAAGAAATTTACAAAAATGCCCTGACACTGACCACACAGAAATCTACCTCAGGGGTCAGTTTGACCCACATCCACATTGATCACCCTTAGGGGTTTAATTTGAATTTCCCGACGAGCATCCCCGTCATTTTAATACGAGTGTCCCCCCGGCATAGTGATTTCTATGGAAAGTGAAGGGTCTCATGGTTTGTTAATCATAACTTATTCGAGGATGATTAATGATGACTTATTCGAGCCACTGACGTGAAATACCCTGTACTCTGTTGACGACGATGTTAATAAGTGTAATCAAACTCTTCTCTACTGCTTGTTTGTTCCCTTTTTTGACGAAAAAATCCCCTTGGGAAAATCTCACGAAGGGCGCAGATAAAATATGCCTAATTTCCGACCATGACTGAAATATGTGCGTGAGATGGATCAAAGAAGGTCGGAGGGGTAGCTATTTATTTACAAGATATCCTTTTCGGACAGTCGAAATGAGGTTTGGCTTCTGTGCCTGCATTAGTCTTTTTCAGGGAAATGGAGATGCTCGGCTGCGCGAAAACCTTTAAGGACAAGCCACTAGTATTCTAGATCACTGGTAGCTAACTGGTTGCCTCAAGAAGCCTAGGCTTCGGTACTGTGCTTACGTCATTATATCTGTGACAGGGAAATATAAAGCTTTTGTGTTACTTTGTTTCTTACCTCAAATTGAAATTGGTCTTGGGTAATTGGCGTCAATACTCTTGCTAATCTCGTTGTAACGCCAGTAATACCCCCCTTTGAAGAAATACGTTTTATAGTTGCGTTCCCAGATAAACGCAGCATCCATATTCTGTAAGGCAGACGGCAAGCCATATTGATTTATGTCGCTCGGACCTTCCTCAAGCTTGTAGTCAAAATACTTCCAATACCTGTAAACACATCGACAGTGATGACAGGAATTATTACCCAGAGTTTCCTACTTTACATTATCAACTTTACTGGGCAGAGACCTTCAAGCTCTTCGTTGTCGTTTTTTTTTACGAAAATTTTATGAATTTTGCTTAGGTATGCAGGTGCGTATGCGTACTAGCGATTAGGTTGGGCAGCAAAGTTTTATACGAGGAGTGTCTACCCCAAAGTCCAATCCCTTACCCTAATTCGATTATCACCTGCCTTTTCTAGTCTCTGATGAGGGTAAGTTTTGTCTAGCCGAAAAACAATTGGGAAAATAGATTACCAATCCTTAGCTGTCCGATCAGCCTTGCCCTCAATTTTAACCCTTTTATATGCCATTTTTGACAGAAAAGGTAACCCTTTCATATACCTTCCATTGGCAAATGGTACCCCTTTCACATACCCATTTCAGAACACTACATCCCTTCTACCTGCTGTAAATGCATCGTCTTTTTTAAAATGAATAAGTCAGTGAACCTTGGCGTTTTCGCTTCTTTTTACAGACACAATGTATATATCTGTTAGCCCTTTTGGGCCCTTTTACAACCCGAAATGACAGATTTTCCTACCCTTTCATTGCATGATTTCAACCAGTGAAATCCCTACCCATATACCTGACGCCTGAAAAGTACCTCTTTCGGGCGAAGCCTCCCCGTCGGCCCTTGTCCCCATATAGGCCATTATAGGGAATAACCCCGGTCGTAAAGGTAGCTTCGCCCCTGTATATGCATATGAGTGTGAAGCCGGGGGGGAGAGGGGAGGGTGGTTAAATGGTTTCGTGGGCTAAGACAATTTCATGTGGTTTATATGACCCTGGGCTCTATTACCGAAAAAAAAAAGATATCAAAGAAGTGATATTGGATTACTTCAGAATCAAAACTGTCTCGGTTCCCCTTACAAAAATAATTTTTAGTCCGTCTGCCGTTAGCATAGGCACTGACATCACCCTGCAGAGCAACGCTATTTAGATCCCCTTTACTTACTTGCTTCCTTTAAAGAACACTGTTCGTCCATCCCAGTTAGTGTAAGCGCTGTCTATCGGTGTCTTGAGGCCCTTCCATTTTGATGTTATTTTCGTCGGCCCGCTTTCCACATCAAGTCTTTTCTCCAAGGACCCAAAAATAGTCCCCGCTAAAAACGTAAGTTTTTCCGTCAAATCCCATCAAAAACGAGTCAAACTTCAAGACTTTGCAAATGTCCAAAACCGGAAGAGGAATAGCTTTGGCTGATGTACTACCTCCGGTAGTAGCGGTTCCAGTAGTCATGTCTGGTTGTGTTCCAGTCGGTGAAGGAGTAGAAGTTCGAGTCGGTTTACCTAAAAGCAATCAATTGTAAAACGCCGTAATTAAAAAGCCTTTAATAATAATAATAATAATAATAATAATAATAATAATAACGCGAATAATAATAATAATAATAATACAGGATAACCTATCACTTCTAATATAAAGAACTGTTATCAAAAGGGTCCTGTAATTATCTCATAAATAGCTAAAAAATAAAGAAGAAAATCGAAAAAGGAAAATAAAATAAAATAACACTAAGAAATCTAAGATTTAAAAATCAAAATCTGTAAAAATCATCGACTTACAAGATTGAAAAGAGTTGTGAATTAGGGAATACTATTGAAAAAACTCTTTTAAATAACTCTTAAAACGAAAACTATAATTTAATTTGTTAAATGCCGAGGTAAAGTATTGTAAACTAGAGCCCCTTGAAACGCAAAACTTCTCCGTCCAGATTCTAATTTGGCTTTGGGAAGTTTTAGTGAACACCCATTGTTTCTAGTGTTAATGTTGTGTTCAATTTTTGCAAAATATCCTTTAAAAGGGGTACAGACGTTATCCTGAAGACAATCAAACACAAGCTGGCAGGACTGTCTCTTTATTAAACTCGCCACTGTCTGGACTTGATAATTTCCACCAATGACTTTCTGACTTCGACGTTCAATGCTTTCAATTCGACTCTTACGGGAACATGACCAACAGAGACCCAAAGTTCAACAATACGTAAAAACAGGTTGAATCATTGCTTTGTAGATTTTCTCAGCACTGCTCTTGTCGATTAAAGGTCGGATTCTCCTGAGTAAATTAAATCTTCCAGCTGCTCTTTTATACATTTTGTCAAAATGTGATTCGAGATTTAAGAATGAATCCAAGTTTACACCCAAGTATTTAGAGGATGACGTGGTATTAATCAGTGTTCCGTGTACAGTCAAGGCTAGTTGTCTTCCATTCAATGTATGAAGCCTTTTGGCAGTACCAAAGATCATACACTAATGGGATCTCTTGAATAGTCACTGAATGCTGTCTTTTTTGTATTTTTAAATTTCAATTGGAAATAGGTGATAGGGCAGGTTGAATAACCTTTTTCTATCTCGTAAAATCATGTACTTGCGTACTAGTTCATTATACTAAAATTTTAAGTGAATATATATAAATAGACAAATAAACTTTGTCATTTTGCTAGTTTGTTCATGTTTCAACCGGACAGTACAGATCTTTCTGATCGTCAAAGTACTGTGTATGAAAATGTATGAAACTGCGAACGACGATTGACAAAAATGACTCTCTTTAATTAAATACCCGATATTCAAAAGACATGAGGAGACACTAGATGGGGAAAAGTATCGACTACTCTAATGCGATGCGATATTTGGATAATTTGGCTTGCAAGTTAAGCTCGCTTCGAAAGCGATTTACTTGCCGTCCACAACATACGTGTCTTACACAAGAAATTAGTTTAAGAGGCCTTAAGATTCGTGGAGACTTGTACGAGAATTGCCTGATAGTTTTTTCGCGTATTCTAAAAAATAGACACCCCAGAAAGTTTCATCGTACTTTGGATTCACCAGAAAAGTAAGCACTGGTAACAGAAAACTATCCTGGGTGCCAGAGACTTTTCATGCGCGGGTCCCGGTTTCCGTCATCAGTCGGGCTTCGCCGCGCGTGACTTCGGCCGAACATCTGTCGGCCTGCGACCGACACCGAAGAATCCACCCGCAATCAAGAAAAATACCTTTGGTACCCATGGTATCAGAGAAAAGTAACTATAATGAAAAATATAGACAAATGCGCGTTTGCTTTTCCCTGGGAATCATTTTCCCTTTGCTTACCGTGAAGTGCCTGTATCCCCAAAATATCGTCCTCAGTCAGCGCGATATTTGGGAAATATCCTTTGTACCAAGGATACATGATGGATTCCCGTACGTTGGAATGTTCCAGACCCAGGCTATGTCCGAACTCATGAACCGCCACCCAGTCAAGGTTTATACCTTCACTTGTACCCGTTGTAAACTGCTCATCATCGTCAAAATGAGTATCGCCAGATAATCCTGAAATATTCGTTGAAAAATAGCTCTGTCTTAAATGGAAACTATATTTATTTCCGCTCCCATATAGGATAGGAGACATTGTTTTTTTGAATCCAAATTTGTAACGAGTGAAACAACAGATTAATCTTTTGTTTCAAGAAGCAATGCGCTTCTGGTTGTCACTTTAATATCAATAGGTAAGCGTGAGTATCGCAGGGGTACTTGGCGAGGACTGTAAATTAATAGCAATAATGAAGTATAAATTAACGCTTAATTAATTATTACGCTTGAGGTTATGAACTAGGGGCATTCTTCCACGAGATACGTACCTAAGTTATTGTGTGGATAGTACGCATGCGCCAGCGTTCCTCCTTGACCATCAAACGGATAGGGGTCATTATGGTAGCCTCTCACAAAAGAAATTAAAATATCCACGTCGTTGTCACTGGCTGACGAGTCCGCTTCACGAACGGTCAGCGTGCTCACTTCTGCCCATTTGTTGATCATTTTCCTCAGAATGTTTTGTTGAATATCGACAGGAAGGTCTGCTGTGCTGGATAAAAATCGGTAAGCCAAATCCTAGAAGGAAAAGTGAAGGGATTTTGAAAATCGTTAAATTGTCTCTTTGAAATAAAGTCAAATCTTTTTGGATTACTTTTCCCCGCGAAAATGGCGTCTGTGCGTGTATCGGTAGTACGATAATGACAAAAACATAAAGTAGATGCTATCAAAACATCAGAAATACGATTTTCTAGTGTCCCGTTTTTGCTGCCTGGTTTGTTTGACTTACATATTTGACCGTCAAAGATCACGGGAGAATTGATCTAAAAATAAACTGGTCTGAAGAAACGCCGTTGCATGGGTACAAAAGAGATGCTCTATCCGGGTCATGAGTTCCTGTCTCTGTGTCGTGCGCGGCAACACTCACCCTTTTATTCCACTTGGATCCTTGGAGAGTAAAACGCTTCCTCCGTTTCGTACCATACTCCTGGTCCTTGAAATCATCTTCTGTGACCCCGCAGCGAGGAATCAAAAGTAGTTTTTTGGTTTCAGTGTCCAGTACTCCAGTCACATTTATTCCAGCCCTCCGTTGGAGTTTGGAGATTTCATTTGTCGTTACACTCTGTCCCTTTAAAGCCATACCGTACTTAATCATCCAATGCTAAAATAAGAAAATAATCTGATTATTGCTATCATGATAATAATATTGATAATTATAATCTTCGTGTTTGGGTATAAAAATTGCGATAAGATTTTGCTTAAAACATTTTAAGACATTTAAAAAAACGTTAAAAAAATGACAACGTTTTGACGTGCTCGTCTTAACTTCTTTATTAAGTCAAAGGAAAATGGCGTTCGAACTGAATGTTCTATAAAACATAAATCTGCTATTTTCGTTTTTTTTAATTTCTCAAAATGTTTTAAGAAAAATTTTATCGAATTTTTTCATAGGCAAATGTTTCAAAAAATCGCTTCTTTTCTATTAATTGCCATTTTCTGAGGAGATTTTTGTCGGTTTGTTATTAAAATGAAAAGCCATTATTGAAAAGGAAAAGAATTTCTAAAACCTTATCTGAAGTAATAAAGCGACTGAGTTTATTTTTGTTTATTTCTTTAAACGTTTTCGAGGTTAACTTTTCAAAAAAGGCACAAGAAAAAGTACTCTCTGACTTGCATTTAACAGTGTGTAGTGTGACCACGCAGCCAGCAGTTCTCTCGTCACGCATTGCTGCTCTAGGAAGAATCCTCTCACAAAAGAAACATTAAGTCTACAGTGAAATTGAGACGCTCTTATTATACCACGTCTGTCCCACGATCATGGACGGAATGTTGTTGTGACGATGGGTTTTATCGGTATTATATTAACGTTCGAACCCGAGTCCGATGCGGCAGCCATGCAGTGGCTTAACTCAGTATACCTTTTCCTCGCTTATTAATGACTAACCCTATAGCATTTGTGCAAGCTGTTCATGACTTACCCTGGCATCTTCAAGAGTGACCCTGTCAACTTGTTCTTCGGACGGTTCTACACTCATGCCGCCGCGGATAGGTAAAGCAAAGCTGCGGTCGCCGCACCATCGAAAAATAAAAGAAAAAATGACAACCTGCTGCATCCAACTCTTCTGAAGTTCCATTGCGTTGTGAATGGCGACTAAGGACTGTCTCAGAAGATGGCAACCTGGAGAGGTTATGCTGTGTCGAAGGTTTGAAAGATTTGCGGACGTGACGTAGACAGGGCCAAATGGTGACGGTATTAACTTTTGCAGATTAAATGACAAACAAACCATTTTTTTAATACATTAGCATTTGAAACATGCATTATGACACGAGAGATAATTTGTGGGTGTCATCAACAGATAACGGAGCAAAACAAAAGAACATCTTGATCACAACGGCGGGCGCAAACCGAAGGGTATCGCACTTTGACGCTCTCTTCTTGGGAGGGGTGGGGGAGGTGTTCGCATGTGGAACCGGAAGAGGTTCTTGGTTTTGAGGACGGGTGCAATCACCAAACGACGTAATACAAAAGATTGAAAAGACAAGGAACAATACCCACACCACAACACAAAAGCGAACTAACAATATTTATCAGCAAGACCAAGAAACACCCGAAAATTGGAAGTGATATTATTAACTGCAAACCCTTAAAGACCACCAATCTGGGATGGTTGGGCAAGCTTTTATGGCCCCTTGAAGATCCTTTTTGTTGAAAAAGCTTTGTGCCAAGTAACACAGTAAGTTGGCAAATGACGCTGACGATTTTACAGTTTAATTTTTCGAACATTTTGAACATTTTTAGCAGACTTATAAAACATTAAGTGACAATGGCTTGTTGGTAATACTATAGCAGACTTTGTTAAGTGAAAATAACATCCTTGATATTGGGAACTTAGCTCAATATATTTAGCTTTTACACATTTCTCTTGCCTTCAAGCACGGTAACGTTAACACGCGACGATGATTATTAGGACTGCAGCCCTCACGCCAGCTTTTACCGAGCATCATACATCGTTGACTGGTGCATTTTAAACAAAAACTGCTGTATGCATTATATATATCCCGAGCACATTATGATATCTACTGCGCTTATCGAATTCCGATAAATGCTTGCTGAATCTAAAAATAATTCCTCTTCTTAAGTAGGGCAGCTCATCCATATTTGAGTGATATCGCGGGGATATCCCTTGTCAAACTTCAGCAATCTGTCATCGAGCCTCCAATAGTTCTCATCTTTGAAGAAATACGTTCTCTTATTTCCACTCCAGGACATAACAGAATCCATGGGATGAGGGAGACCTGAAAGGAAAAAATCAATTAAATAGTAGCGTTGAATAGAACGATGCGTACATTTTGTCGGAAATAAGGGAATAACTTGTTATTTGTTGAATGCAGAGGAGATCAACACTTAAAAAAAACAAGGATTTGGATCGTCAATCATATAGCTGTCAATAATTGAATGATTATTGGACGAGGTTGAGTAAACTACCGTGATTTGTCAGTGGCCAGCAGATCAATTGTTAGGCTTCAGCAAATAATTGATCTGCTAGACACTGATAAATCACGTTCTTTTGCGAAAACCGAGTTAAATAATTGTTTTATCATTCGATTAAACATGCCAAATCGGTCTTTGAAAGGCTAGCGAAGCGATCTGCCGTTTTCACGCAAGAGCGATCGCAAGAATGAGGAAAGCGTGGTTTAATATACGTATGAGCAGAATATTTTTTGCAGCCAAACACACTTGGACGACATTGCGCATGGGCGGACCATTATTTGTAGGCAGTTATTTACAGGTCACGTGGTGGGCTCTTGGCCAATGAAAAGGAAGAAACATTTACTTGGAATGACAATAAGATGTGTTCTTCCTTCGAGGATCGACCGTCAATTTTTTCTTTCTCGACGAGCCCTCAATGGTAACAAAGACTACAAGACACTTACCCCAAATTGAAATGTTTCTTGGGTAGCCAGGATCTACTGTTTTGGAGATCTCATCGTAACGCCAGTATTCCCATCCTTTAAAAAAATAAGCCTTATAATTCTTCTCCCAAATGAAAGCAGCGTCCATATTCTCCAACGCTGAGGGCAGGCCATCATGACCTCCGTATTGGGTTAAGTATAGGGGACCTTCTTCAAGTCTATAGTCAAAATACATCCAATACCTGTGACAGGAAAAAAATTGAATCAAATTTGAATCTTGTATCTGTTTTGGAAAGCACCATATACATGTACATGTATAAAAGCATTAACAAAATCACCCTGTTTAAATACACAGCTAGAGAACTCTACTGATTGATGGGAGTTACCGCAAAGTTACCTTGCGAAAACAACTTCAGCATCTATAAACCAAAGAGAAGAATTCTCTCCCGGGGGGTTACTTGGGTTAATTTTTGCTGGGTATGTGCCGCTGGCCTCTCAGAACCCCTACCCCATTATAGTCTATTCTGTGACCAAATATAGACCCCATCTTAGTCACTTCTGGCAAAATGAAATTTTCGCGATCCCAACTTAGTAACTTTCTGTTTATGCATCTACTTTATAAAGCCTTTTAACCTGGTCATCCGGAAAGGAATTGACACATCGGTTAAACTTAATGAAGTAAACAGTCTGTACCTCACTGAATTTTCTGATTCCCCAAATCCCGAATATGTGCAATTCCATTCTAGTGACTCATGCAACCCCAGTTTAAAATTATTTCGCGTTTGCATTATTATTTTGCAAATCTACGCGTTTTTATCTCCCTAATTGGGGTTCTTCCGTCTTTTGCGCTGTCGTTGTTTTTCGCTCTTCCTTACCCAAACCAATAATACTTTATCCAAAAACACAGCGTCCTCAAAGTTAGATCTTATTTACTTACTCGCTTCCTGTGAAGAACACTGTACGTCCATGCCAGTTAATGTAAGCGCTGTTTATAGGGGTTCTGACTTCCTTCCATTTTGATGTTATCTTCGTTGGACCGCTTTCCACCTTGAGTCTTTCTGACAGCACCCAGAAAAAATCTCCACTGAAAACATAGGTTTTTCCATCATATCCCATCACAAAGGAGTCAAACTTCTTAACTTTACAAATTTCCAGCTCAGATGTCGTTGGCGTTGTTGGTGTCTCTGTGGTAGTAGCCTTTGTTGTTGTTTCTGGTTGAGTTGATGGTGTCTCTGTGGTGGTCGCCTTTGTTGTCGTTTCGGGTTGAGTTGTTGGTGTCCCTGTGGTGGTCGCCTTTGTTGTTGTTTCGGGTTGAGTTGTTGGTGTCTCTGTGGTGGTCGCCTTTGTTGTTGTTTCTGGTTGAGTTGTTGGTGTCTCTGTGGTGGTCGCCTTTGTTGTTGTTTCGGGTTGAGTTGTTGGTGTCTCTGTGGTGGTCGCCTTTGTTGTTGTTTCGGGTTGAGTTGTTGGTGTCTCTGTGGTGGTCGCCTTTGTTGTTGTTTCGGGTTGAGTTGTTGGTGTCTCTGTGGTGGTCGCCTTTGTTGTTGTTTCGGGTTGAGTTGTTGGTGTCTCTGTGGTGGTCGCCTTTGTTGTTGTTTCTGGCTGAGTTGTTGGTGTCTCAGTGGTAGTCGCCTTTGTCGTTGTTTCTGGTTGAGTTGTTGGTGTCTCTGTGGTTGTTGCTGGGGTTGGTTTGCCTGAAGTGGCGTAAAATGATTAAATACATAATATGTAAACAAGCGCTCGGGTGAGCCTGAAAAGGTTTACCTAAACGCAAGAAAGCACGAGGGGATGTGTAACGTCTGTTTACCTGCACGTCTCAGTACAACTGTAAGTTTTGCTCACAAGATGCAGAAGGAAACCAATTGAAGGCTTTAGGGTGACTTAAGATTATCGCGTAACATTTGGAGAATTTTAAAGATAACAATCTATGAGGTGTATGAGACGCCAAATCAGGGGAAGAAGGCCGGGAAAGACAAATTTTATCCTTTTGGCTGAACCATTCACAGCTGAACCGCCTATAACTACCCGCGCGACATTTGACTTGTGCTGGAAGTAGAGATCTTTCAGACTATACCTGGATGAGCTCGGCGTAGTCTGACAGGCGGCAGAAAAATGCAAAAACCGTGATAAGTTGAGCAGAAAATTCAAATCATTTTATTTTTTATTAGCTTCGCCTATTACTGAACAATGAATGATTAATGCTTAATAGGCAGGGTTGCCACAACAGCGGTGAGCCAATTACAGTGGTCCCAGAGCTTAAAAGATATGAAAGAAACAGTAAAACGTCATATGACAATTAAAGACAACAACGGAGACGGACAAACACGTTACGTGAAACGTTAAATGACGGACAGATGGTTTTCCAGGATCGTGGGTTCTCTGGATCGTAGTAATGTTCTACGGCATCCACGTAGTACTTGTACATGATGGATTTGAATTGGCTGATCTGAAAGTTGAAGGTCACTTGCTAGCGTGTTCCAGATTGTGGTGGTTCTATTAATCATACTACTACATGAAAAATTTCTGCAATTTGATTGGCTTAGAGCAGGGGTATTTCAGCTTAATTTGAAATACCTACATTTGAAAATTACAAACTTTTTGCGGGTAGTAGAAAAAACAAATAATAGCATGATTTCTACGTGATATTTGGCATAATACCACTTGTGATATTTCAAAATTGTCTCAAATTTCACTCGTCTAACGGCTCGTGAAATTACGTATAACAATATTTTTTGAAATATCATTCGTGCTATATATGCCAAATATCACTACAAATCATGCTATTACCTATACAAAAAGATCTCTGAAAAGTGATAGTATTACATTTCCTTGAATAAAAGTGATTGACATTACGGTACTTCATCACAAGTAGATTATCCAAATACTCCAGAAAACACTTTTACATACCTAACCGGCTCGTCTGCATTTCGCCGTCATAGATATCTACAGTTGGCTTTACACTAGAAATGTTTCAACTTACCATAAAGTGCTTGTATCCCTAAAATATCGTCTTCAGTCAGTTCGATATTTGGGAAATATCCTTTGTACCAAGGATACATGATGGATTCCCGTACGTTGGAATGTTCCAGTCCCATGCTGTGTCCGAACTCATGAACCGCCACCCAGTCCAGGTTTATACCGTCGCTTGTTCCTGTTGTGAATCGCTCATCATCGTCAAAATGGGCATCACCAGATAATCCTAAAATATCCCGTTAAAAAATAGCTTTTATTTAAAAAAGGCAAAACTCTAGCTCGCTCGCAGCCTCGCAAAACTTGTACATTACTCCACCATGGGTCAATGCCAGATATAAAGGCGCCTTCTGGGATTCCCAGTATATTTAGAGAAAATACTATCTTCGTCCACTTTGAGACCTCATGTGCGCTTATTTCTGTGTTTTAAAATCATTCCGATCTTCGGTACCGTCATATTATGTACATTAAACGCTGCAATTCATGCAGAGGCTAGGGCAAAGGAGATTCTAAGTGGAGGGCGGTTCAAAAAGAGGCATTTCCGAGGGGTTGGGGGAGGCTATTCGAGGTCATTTTTTCCGGGGTTCCAAATGAGATTGCTGGGTTAATGAAAACTACCATAGCTCATGGTCTGTTGAGCGAGCTATCATTTGTTTTACTACTAAACCAGTGGTTTTACTCAAGAGTATTTTTTCATTGATGATCTTTTATTTACTGTTGGCTTGGGGAATGTTTTGTTTCTCACGCCCTTCGCGATAGTGAACGGAAATTCCATGGGGCGGGGGGCGGGTGGGGAGACTAAAACAAAAGTGCCCTACGTGTGGAAGGTGTGGATATTTCCTGGAACTATACCCTGTACCTAAGTTGTTGTGTGGATAGTACGCATGCGCCAGCGTTCCTCCTTGACCATCAAACGGATAGGGGTCATTATGGAAGCCTCTCACAAAAGAAATCAAAATATCCACATCATTGTCACTGGCTGACGAGTCCGCTTCACGAACGGTCAGCGTGCTCACTTCTGCCCATTTGTTGATCATTTTCCTCAGAATGTTTTGTTGAATATCGACAGGAAGGTCTGCTGTGCTGGATAAAAATCGGTAGGTCAAATCCTAGAAGGAAAAGTGAAGGGATTTTGAAAAATAGGGGCATTTATACGAGGAAAAATAAGACGCGTCTTACATAAGACGCGTCTTAAATAAGACGCGAACTTTCCGTATAAACGGCACATTTCGTCTAAAATAAGACGCGGCTTAGCTAAGACGCGTCTTATTAGATAAGACATGCTCGTATAAATGGTACAGTTCGCGTCTTATTTAAGACGCGTCTTATGTAAGACGTGTCTTATTTTTCCTCGTATAAATGGCCCTATTGTCTCTTTGACTCTGTAAAAGCCCTCGACCAAGAACTTGGATTTTCCCAAGTTAGCCTAAGCAGGTTCTTACATAAATGGCAATAAGCGAGCAAACATTTTAGCTAAAATAGGTTCTTAAAGAGCTCGCTGTTTTCTGAAGAAGAAAAAAAACATTGTAGCTGAGAGTATTTAGAAATATTTAGCCTATGCCTTTTATAACACAGTATGATCCGAGTACCAGTTGGAGTGATATGGCAGCTATATCCTTAAAGAGGACCCTGAATGCTGACCTATATTATTGTTCCCCAAGTATGCAGAATTTTTTTTGTAGATTTTAGAAAATAAGAATATGTTTCAAAATTTTAGGTTAAACAGGTTCTTGTGAAGAGGGGCCCTAACTGGCAAATTTTAGTTTAACACGTTTAAAAACCCAGTTCTTAGTTGCAGGTTTTTGTTTTTTATTTATTTTTGTTTTTATTTAGCACAAGTCTCAAATAAGAAGCTGTGTTTTGTCATTTACAAGTAATTTCTTCGCTAACGTTAAGTTCCATAGATGATAAGGAAGCTTTAATATAAAAAGAAAAACAGGACAACCGACCATGAATCCGCGTTTTCACAGATGAGTTAATTTAGCATCATTTTGGAGTACTTTACTCTAAGAAAATGCAAGCAGCGCCCCGTATGTGTGGGCATCAATATAGACTGCGAGCAGCTCTCTTTTTCTTCAGATTTAGTGAGAGCAATGCACGCGCGCGGGAGCGGCGAAGCCGCGAGACGCGCGAAACGAGGGCGGCCTCTCCCGTCTCGCGCCATCAGTCACGCACGTGGCCATTTGCGTGTCTCGCGTTTTGCTGGACGGACTACAGAAAAAAGAGAGACTGCTCGTACTCTAGCATCAATAAGACGATAATGACAAAAAGATAAAGTAAACCGGCGCTAACAAAATACCATTTTCCGTTCTCCCGTTTTCGCGGCTTCGTTTGTTAGACTTATTTCACAGTCAAAATTCGCGAGAGAATCGATCTAAAAAAAGCTGGTCTGAAGAAATGCCGTTGCATGGGTACAACAGAGATGCTCGCTCAGGCGTCATAAGTCCCAGGCCGATTTAGCAAAAGAACGGGAACGTCAGTTGACGATGGCGTGCGCAAATCAAACAACCGGCCTGACCAATGGCAGAGTGGCAAATCGCGTTTAGTCCTTTCCGCGCGTTCTCCAGTCGGCAGCTGACGTTTCCGTTCTGTTGCTAAATCAGCCTGCGCGGCAACACTCACATTTTTTTTCCACGTGGATCCTTGGAGAGTAAAACGCTTCCTCCGTCTTCTTTCCGTTATTCCTTTTCCTTTGTCATACTCTTGACCCTTGTAGTCATCTTCTGTGACCCCGCAACGAGGAATCACAAGTAATTTTTTGGTTTCAGTGTCCAGTACTCCAGTCACATTTATTCCAGCCCTCCGTTGGAGTTTGGAGATTTCATTTGTCGTTACACTCTGTCCCACTAAAGCCATACCGTACTTAATCATCCATTGCTAAAATAAGAAAATGATATTATTGCTATCATGATAATCAATAATAACGATCTTATTGCCCCCGCAGGGATTTCGCCTTCTCCGAGGAGGCACTTTAGTAACTCACCCGTATATTACGGAAAGTACTTACAGTTGAAATATACAGTCGGTATGCCAGAAAAAATCTCGACTTGCTTGAACAGGGGCCGCGAGGAATCGGTAGGTAACGATGACGTTTCTATTGTTTGTGCCCTCAAGTACGAAGTGGTTATAGGATGACGTAAAGACAGAAAATCCCGAGTTGGCCGCTTAGGAAGATTTTGTGACATTTATTGTGAAGTCATACTTCGATACTCTTTTGCGTTGCGTGTTGTGGAGCAGTTGTTTTGAAAGTTATAGACCAAAGGACACTCGTTAAGCGCAGATGAAGTTATAAGGTGCGTATAACTGTGTACTATAAACACTTGGAGAGTTTGCCAGACATGAGTTCACAAATCTTTGATTGGAAACCTTGTCAGACACTCTTTCTCCCTCCTTCACCGGAATAAGACTCAGCCCCAAACAAGCAAGAGGAGTGAACAATGGCTAGCTTATCACTAGCAGAATGATGGACGATTACAGAAATTGGCCGACAATCAAATTCTGTGCCGAATTATTCCCTGCTCACAGATGTCCTTCCAATCTAAGACTAGAATGCGCGAGCGTGAATTGATCAAACGTCCTTTTAATTTCTAAGGCTTACTTTCCGGCAAATAAAATGAACTGAATATAAAAAAAGAAAGAGAAAAATTCAACTTCTAATTAAATATTTTCTTATGGTTTAAAATAAACTATTCTCGAAACGGAGAACGTTTTGATCAAGGCTGTGTAAACAGTGTAAATCGAACTGAAAGTGTGCATGGAACCTTGTGTTTCCTGTATGAATCTCACCTATTGTATGGAATATGTGTGAAAATCTTCATTATGAATCGGTATATTTCAAAGAGCTACACAACGAGCAAGAATACTATTGACCGACAATATACAGAGCGGGGGCAGCTTTAGTGTCAACTATTAATAGTTATTATTGCATAGTATGAATATTGCTTTTTGTACGTATTTTATAGTTTATTAGGCAAGTTGATTCGCAGTTGTATTTGTTGGAAGGTGACGTATTTACATGATTATTATATATTTTTCACAGAAACAGCTAATTCAACTATACGCTCGCCATTTTCTATAAAAAGTAGAAGATTTTTGTCGATTTTTTAAACGCTTCTGAAACATTATCTAAGGCACTAAAACGACTGAGTTTATTATCACTATTTTCTTATTTCTTCAAACGTTTTCGTGCTTAAGTTTTTATAAATGCTTCAAGGAAAAGTACTCTCACTTGTTTTAACAGGGTGTAACCACGTAGCCAGCAATTCCCTCGTCACGCATCGCTGGAAGGAGCGTTGCGTGAGGAGACAAACAACGGCCACGAGGGAGACTAAAAAACCGGATATAAAGTGATGTGAAGTTCATTTTCGATCTCCATCAAATGGGGGAACAACAGATTCTAAGATTTTCTACGGTCTTATGGACAATACGTCTTTCAGTTTCTATAGGTGATATATTATTTCCAAACCTAAATATGAATAAATAAATCATACTTTAACACCCAGAGAGACTGACCGAGTAGTAAAATCGTGAGTCAAGGGTCGTCACTACAATACGCAGTGATCATTTCGGCGATGCGGTTTGCTGACGCTTTAACCGATATGCAAATTTCATCAGCCTCTCGGGTACATTCAGTTGGAAAAACAAGGTTGTTACTGAAATGATCTTACCTTACAGTCTTCCAATGTAACATTTTCAACTTCTTTATCAGTAGGGTTAAACTTTACAGCCTTGCCGATAGGAAGAGCTGAACTATGATCGCCGAACCATAAACAAACCAAAGTGAAGATGACCAGCTCACACACCAAGCCCGTCTGCCCTTGCCCTTTGAACATCCTGATAACATTTAGTCTATTCCTCAAAAGACCCCTTTGCACTTTAGAATCGACGCTCTGCGGCTACGAGCCACCGTGCACTTCAGATCTACAGAGTGGTATATAAAAGCGCCCTGTCCGAAGTGAGGAATTGCGGGGTCTGGCATTTATTAAAAAACGTAACATGACCCATAAATGTCTCCGAGGTGACGATTTATTACATAAATTGCCAGATTAGCAGAAATGATGTCTAGCCAGAGAAGAATGTATCAGTTCAGACGACCCCTCCCTCCGAAGGACTCCCAAATTGACAGAGCCCGTACTTATTTTCTTGTCTCGCTATAAGGTAGAAATTGCAGTTTTGGCATTAAGGTGTCAGAACAAAAATCAAATATTTTGACCCCATAAAGGATTGTTTTTTTAAAGGTATCAATTGTAGGAAGAGAGGATGAGTTCATGGGGAGTAACCTGCAAGAGGGAAAGGGGGGGAGCTCCCTTATACAAGTCACAGGGGACGCTGCATGCTAGTCGGAAAATTAAAATTAAACATCTAAGAGACCAATGTGAGTCATGCCGAGTGAGACCAAAATCTGCAATTTACACCCCTAAGCGAGACGACAAGCATCTCCGTCACTTTAATATGGGGTCCTCCGGATCCCCGGGTAGCCTGTGGCCACGAGGCGTTCAGAGTAATAGAGCGAGAGTAAAAAAAAGGCGAGACAGAAAAAAACAAACAAACAAACAAACAAAAACAAGTTAACACTGGGATGAGAACCTCCCCTGTTCTGTTGTGAGGTACCCATTGTTTGAAATTGTTTACTATCGATGAAAAAAAGAAGAAGAAAGAATTGTAACAGCAATGCCAAAACATACTCAGCTACCAGAGCAACAGAATCCTACAAAAAGATTTTCTTAGTTCCTTTCTTTTTTGTTTTTGTTTTTTTATTTGTCGGATGATCTCCAGGCGAGATGGAAAAAAGTACACAAAAATGATCCACAGCATTGTTCGTCTGTCCGCACACTGATCCGAAAGTGACACTTCCCATTTCTCCCCTCCCTCCCGCGCCAACATTAAAGGCGCAGCTAACGAGCCTGTTGACATGATGACGTCTTCAGCAATTTCAAGTATTTTGTTAATTTGCTGAAATCCCAGGTTCTTTAATAAACAATATTTATTTGTTTTTTGTCTTTCATTTTTGTCAGAAGCAAGATTACAGATGAGTTTTCCACTGATTCCATGACTGCTTCCACTTGAAGCTCGATCAGGTCTGTTAATCCGCTTCTTCGATTGTCAGGATGTAGGGCACACATCACGCTATTATATAGCTATAATCCTTGAATTCAACTTCGGTAATTTTGTTGACAGCAGATATATAGTACACCCAATTATTGGTGAGGATTTTTTTACGTCAGGTAGAAGGCACCTTAAAGGGTCCTTCAGAGAAAAACAACGGAATGTGTTTGTAAAATTCCCATGATACAAAAAAATGTTGTCAATTCTAGCCGCAAAGCTGTCTCGAGACAAGCATACGTGCATACCAGATAAGCTAGTTAGAAGGATGAAAGTTTGTGGTTTCTAGATCAAATAAAAATGTCTTTTACAGCGGCGGCTCCTGACAGCGGTCAGTCCAGTTTTACGTCTCGTCATGGAATGTTGAAATTTATAAAAAAAAATTGGGAGTACCGTATGTGAGGAAGTTTTCACGAGAATTTCATAGATCAGCGAGATGGGGAAGCGTGTAGTTTCTCCCTTTATCTTTTAAGTGGACGCACGTACATTGCTGTTCTTTCCCTTACATATTTTATATCATGACGGACATTCTGCAGCCACACCTCCTTTAACAATGCTATAATTTGTTCTCATGCATACTCAAGGTTGAAATCCGTCATTTCATAAAATCTGATTTCTTCCCGCGAAAAGGGAGAGACTTTAAATCATAACCTCAGCGAAAATTTCAGTTTCTAGCTAGTTGACAGTCAGTTGTGTTAGGGTAACGATATATGACGTCGGTAATAGGTGTCACGGCAAGGTGCCAAGCAAATATAAAGAAAATGCTACTTTTCGCTCTTTTCTCCCGCGAAAATTTTACCATTTGACAGTCATTAGCTAGGGTTACAAGATATGACGTCGGAGGTTTTACGACACGATGTCAAACCATATAAGGAAAATGCCACTTTTCGCTCTTTGTTGCGGTCGCTGTTCAGTCACAGTAGTGGGCAGTGGCTCAGGACATTTTGGGCAGTGTTACACCAAGTACTACCGGTGTGCAGATCCTCAAACAGTACCAACATCAGTGCAAGGTTTAATGGAGAGGAGAAGTCGTTTCGTCACGTTGCCAGGGTAGAAAAATCTTTGGATCTCGACAAACCGTGGTCCTGAAAATATGGGAGAAAAAAAACGAAAACCTTGACATGACGACTTGCATGATGATTGCTCTCAGGAACAAAACTGTACGCCATACTTTTCTTCCATCGTTCGACAATGCAAATAGCAATCTCTGACAAGAAAGACTGCTGTGAGATCAAGAAATTTGCTACCACAGTAACGTGACGTCACACTTCTCCCTCTCTTTTGCACTTCCCACACTCTTTTGCACTTATAATAGACGGTTGGAATCAATCACTTTTTAGAGGTGATGATTCTGATGGAAATGTCTTACAGTCCGGGCCATAACCATTGACTTTCAGTACTTAGAGTTGATTATTAAAACTGACACCCAAACGTACTGATCAGACCCTACGGACACGTAACCTCCCTTTATTCTGTAAACCTTGTCAGGAAGGTCTAGTCTACGATCTATAATAATTTCTAACCAGCAACAATCGACGTACATGAAAGGATATAAATTAAAACTAATATAATTCCGTAGTTTTCTCTTTTAAGAAACGGTCCTTTCCGGGCCAAACAGTAGCTTACGTGACCCCTTATGTTTTGACTAACTTCCTATTTTAATTAGTTACCGTATTTATTCGAATAAGCGCCCAACCTCGAATTAGCGCCCACCTCGAATAAGCGCCCATCCTAAAGGCAGAAAAAGTTAATAAGCGCCCAGCCTCGAATAAGGGCCCACCTCCTCCTCCTCCCAATCAAACTCAAATAAGCGCTCACCCCCACCCCACCCCTTTGAGTGAATAAATTCTAATAAGAGACTTTCCCGAGGACGGAGGTTTGTTCAGAGTATTGTACAGAAACCTTGCTTTGTTACTTCTTCGCGTTCTGTTATTAGCATTTATTGTTTTGTTGCAAAATAAACATACTTCACCTGCTGAAAATGATGAAAATTTAATAAGCGCCCAGCCTCGAACAAGCGCCCACCTCGAATAAGCGCCCACTCTCAAGGTCCAAAAATTTAATAAGCGCCCAGGGCGGTTAATCGAATAAATACGGTATTTCTGCTTTCTACCAGGATCAGGAAAAATAGTTTTCTTCATGGAGGTCCAAGATCAAAGGAAGGGATTATGCTTGAGAGCAGATTTAGAGTAAGATTGTCAACTTATTTCTCAGAGATAGCTATCTTTCGTGGTTTTACCTAGTATTCAAAACTTAGGGTACTAAACACTTAACTGGGGAAGCCGGAAATTCAGGTTGGAAAATCAAATTGTTCGCCCCATGCATTTGAAAAGCTTCAGAAAATATGGGCTGTTCTCTTTTTTAAGTGTTCAGCTGATTTTGATATACTTCTTAGCCAGTTGCCCGGGGGGGGTACTCTTGGGAATTCTTGGTGGGGGTGTGCCGCCCGGTTCTCAAATCCTGACCCTATTTCAGACCAAAAAAAGTGATTTTCCACACCCGTTTTCAGACCAGAACTTAGCCTGTTCCAGGCTCGGAGATAGTGGTGAAAAGTCGTTCAGTAAAAAGAAATGCGAAAAACCCGCGGGGGCTGGGGAGAGAACCCCTTTTCCCAAGTTGGGCGCGTCTTATTTTCGCTTTGCTCGTTTTAATACGTCTGCACTATACTATCCGGGAGCCTGGCACAGGCTAACCAGAACTCTAAAATCCATACCCGTTACGTTTTCAGACCTGGCCTTTAGGCAGAATTTATGTTATCATTACTTAGATTAGAGCGCAACCAAAAAGTTCTTTAAATCCATTTCGAGTTCGCATATTTCCCTTTCTTTTTTACTCATTTCGAATTGAAACGATAAAAACGTTCCGTACACTCCCGTAGTTCTCTCAGAAACCATACCCGATTCCAGACCAAAATAAGCGAACCAGTATACCGTTTTCAGACCAAAAGGGCGCAAAAAAGCTACCCGATGGGGCGGCACATACCTATATAGCTTATATAAGGGAGTACCCCTCGGGGCCGGTTGTTCTCCCACCGAGACAAATTTTATAGCTTCTCATTTATGCACCCGGGTGATTTGTGTGCAAGTATCCTAAACTCTTCTTCGTTAAGGAAGGCCAGAGTCATCTACCTAAAATTACAATTTTATGAACAATCTAGACTCTGCTGACTCACCTATTTTGAATTACAGTCATCATCAGTAATCTATTTGATTCCCATCTCGGACACTATACAAACTAGGTAGTCTATACGTACCAACTGTTTTGATTCTTTTGCGTCAAGGTAATTCTCATTTTGTTAGTTTTCTAGCTTACTTCAAACCCTCAATTTCCGAACGAAACTTGTTCTCTGGCATCCTTGACTCTCGCGCTTCAAGTTCTTTCATTAAGGCTTGAAAACGCTTGTCGTCTTTTGAGTTCGCTACATAACGACGTCTGATGTTCTCCCACGGGTTGGATTTCCTCAGTACAGAACGACCCGCTCCCAAAGTTCCATCTGATGAGGTGTCTTCATACACGTTGAATAGCTGTACTGACGAAGGTAAGTGCTTTGCATATGTGGTAAGATACGTACTGAGCATCCTTTCTTGAACTTCTATGGGTTCATTTGCAAGGGCCTAAAAAACATGCAAGAGGCAGTCTGAACATCTGGACCCGGTTCTTCAAACGTTTAACCCTTTAAACCCTAAGATCAGACTAATTTCAGTTCTCATTTGCTGTCCCTATTCATTCCCTACAGAAATAGTGGGGAGAAATTGATAAAATATCAAGCAAATTCACTTTGTGTGATTATGTCCGTAATTCTCATGACCACTCTGTTTTACAAAGCATTGACATTACAAGGAGAAATTTGATGCTGATCACTATTAGGGATTAAAAGGTTTAAAATAGCGCTCCTTAGCAGTAGCGCCCCGGATACACAGGCTTGCTTGCAGGCTAATCACTATCAAGCGGATGATAAATAGGAAACCCAGTTGCGCTATCCACTGGATAGAGATTAGTCACCCAGTGCATTGAAAAACTGGGACCTGAAGGCAACCTTTCCCCCAACTGAGTTTACGCTACTGATCCAGGAGAAGAGGTTATCTGTAAGTGAAACAATTGAAGTAGATAGTCACCTTAGCGATAATGATTTGCAAGTGCTACGTAACTTTTGCAAAAAAAAAATATCGTGGCAGCTTTTTTTTGATATACCGGCCATTTTACAGTAAAATCGCCTCGCAAGAATGCCATTATTACGATAACAAAACCGCAGCCCCAAAGCAGTAAGGAGTTCCGGCTCATATGTAGACAAGGATCCGCAGTAAAAAGAAAACGATACACTAATCCTTACAGCAAGGAAAACATTTCTTGCGTTTTTTATATTGTTGTTTGCATTTTTTTGTTCCCGCTATACGCTCTTCTGAGATTCGTTCGGTACTACTACCAAGCAATCAATGTATCTTTTCGTCCATCGATTTTTTTCAAAATTAAAATTCCCCCTTGTAAGGTGAAAGTTCGATCTTTTCACGTGTGCTCCACATGAACATGACGTTAAAGTGGAATGTAACGATGTACCATTTGGTTGCCTTATGGTCAATCAGTAATCACTGCTTTGGATGGTTGGAATTTTGTTGTAATGTTGGTTCTTTATGTTATCGTGGGTTGACCGACACATGAGTTTTTTCAGGTGATAGGCTCCTGTTTTTTTAGAAAAATTGCACTTTCCCGAATTTCCCACCTATAAAACCATCTAGACTTATCAGACAAACAATGAAAAGTTCTTTGTAATTTTTTACGCACGCCAGACTGACCAAATAATAGACCAAACTTCCCCTGTCAATATTTCAAGAAAAGTAAAAACTGATAGGAAAAAAAACTTCCCAGGCTACTGTTATCGTAACATACCTCGAATCAATATCCTGGAGAAAGAGGATGCTCCAACCCGCCGCCAGCTTACTTAGTTTTTGGCCGACAGAATGAAGGACTCCTCCCCCCCTCCCCCCTCACCCCAAAATAAGGGATGAAGCTCCACAAGAAGATTAAAACACGCCAATTTTTTCCATCTTTGAAATGGGGGAAGGGATTACAGACAATCCATGATTTTGTCTAAGACTTAAGCGTAGCATGATACTAATGAAGCGATTGAAGACGTTTGTCCCAGATCATAAATTTTCTCATATTTTTTAAGTTTAGTTATGAAGGAAGACAGCAAAAGGACTTAAATATATTTCTACTCAACAAATCTCTTATGCTCATCTACAGATTCAGGCTCGGATCTTATACCGGTCCCATTCTGTGGGAGTTTCCTGGACGTGCTTTTTACCCTGTCGGCGATGTGCACGTATTGTTTTGAATTTGTATTGTAATTTGTTTACCAACGGAGCACTAAGAGCTCGAATTTGGAGGTATGGGTTTTAAAGGAGAGGGGAAAACCAGAGCCTAACTGAAGCGGAAACCTCTTAGAGCAAGGGAGAGAACCAACAGCAAACTCAACCCGCATATGGCATCGACATCGGGATTTGAACCAGGGCCACGTTGGTGGGCCAGAGGCAAGTGTTCAACCAGCTGCGCCATCCCTTTAGGCTCCCTTACGCCAACAATTCCGGGCGTTCCGCCCTATTCTGATTCTCTCAATAGCTCAAAATATATTTATGTAGCGAAGATCAGACGCTGTCGTAAACTTTCGATTGTGATCGAAATGTGAGAAGAACGGGAAGGAGAAAACTATAAATTTGTTTGAAAAAAAGTGGACTGAAAAAAGACACCGCAACTGAATTTCTAAAGACCTACTATGCTAAACAGCTTTCACTAGAATACGCCACACCTTTTAAAAGCGTTCTAAAGCGCTAGGAGAAACAAACAGTTTTTTCCGCATGAGACGAAAAATTGGCTTAATTTTTAAAACCCTGGCAAAACAACGTAAATAAAACAAAATATTGGCAACTATGTGCTACCACGATGACAAGTCTTAGTTGTGGAGGATAAGACCAAATTATTAAGCATCCGAGTTAAATCTTACCTGTTCCAGACTTCTCACCGCTGCAATTAGCTTTTCATATAAATCGTAACTCTTCACGTTGCTGAGAACACATAGGACGATCAAGCATGCGAAAAGTCTCCTCATCTTGCTCAAATCTTAAGGATCCGTTTCTTATGGAGTCAATTTGTCTTCGTCTTTTTTTAAAATAGCACTTTCAGTCGCATGCAGCAGGGTTACGTTTTCGCGCGCAGCTCTGGACACGTGAATAGCCGACAAAAAACTGCTTGTTTAAGACACGATTCTGCCTTTTTAGCTGATACCGCAGTGATAAACAACGTATCGAGGGTATTAATTTCAAACGTCCGCTCGGCACGTTGGTGTCATATGCAACTGGTAATCTCCGTCTTTTTCATTGACAAAAAAAAAACCGCCCGAAAACAAACTTCACACAGAACAAAGTAGACACACGTATGAATCAAACGGATGTCTCATTATCAAGTACATTTGCCAGCTAACGGAAATTATCGATATCATCTACAATTAAGGGGCTACTAGCGACTTAAACTGATTAAGGACTTTGGATACCGGCACCCAGTTTATCTTGTTCAGCCTTTTAAGGGTCAAGATCATGATACACTGAAGCTAAATAAATACTATTGTTTGTTCACGGTTAATCGTGCTAAGCAGGATCACTGATTTGAAGGTATTTTTTGGTAAAACATATCTCTAAAACTCTGCTACTCTGTGTGAGGCTTAAAAGGAATTTTAAATGATAATAGATGAATGTGAAAGTTTTCATGTTTCTAATTTTCTGCCATAAGAATAAAAATAATAGGACCTACATTTTATCCCGGGGGGCGGGGGAGTACTCCGTTATATAAGCTATATACGGGTATGTGCCGCACCATCGGGAAGGGTTTTTGCACCGATTTGGTCTGAAAACGGGTATACACTTTGCCCATTTTGGTTTGGAGTCGCGTACGGTTTTTGAGGAAACTACAGGATTGCATGAACGTCTTTACCGTTTCAATTCCAAATGAGTAAGAAAGGAAGAAAAATATGCGAATTCGAAATGGATTTGAAGAACTTTTTTGTTTGCGCTCTAATCTAAGTAATGATAACATAATTTCTCCCTAATGGCCAGGTCTGACACCGGTATGGATTTTAGAGGTCTGGTCTGAAAACGGGTGTGGAAAATTACTTTTTCTGGTCTGAAATCGGGTCAGGATTTGGAAAACTGGGCGGCACACCCCCACCAAGAATTCCCAGGAGTACCCCCTCCCCCCCCGGGCATTTTATGCACTGTCTAAAATTGGATCAGTCAGCCTTTGGACTCTTGCACTACTGTTGTCATTGATCGTTAATTATTTCAATGAATTTTTATCTCGGAACGTTCATTCAATGTACTGTGTCGAGGAGGTTTGAAGGTGAGGTTACGATTCGCAAAGTGACATTTTTAATTAGCGCAGCACAGCGTTGCAGTGCTGGTACCTGATGTTGTAACCATTCGAAACAACGTCTCAACAACGTTGCAACGCTGTGTTGCGCTAAAAATCGTCGTTGCGAATCGTCTCGTGTAACATCATCCGTTATGGCCCACAGCAAAGAATTTTTTGGTTCACAGACTTAAATCTGGAGTTACTTACTTACCAAATCAAAAGGTATACCATGAAAAACGCTCTTGCTTAAGGGTTTCAAATAAAGCGTTCACACCCTAGGATTTCATCTTTAGAACTCCATACAGAACAAATTAGTACGAAAGGATAACGAAAAGAAACAAGTAGTACACTGTAACTCTGGGAAAAAAAGAAGGTGGAATGTCGTTCGGATAAAACAGCTCTTGAACAGCTATTGACTGCTCCCAGTAGGCTTGCTGAGCTCAATTAGTTAGAGCACTGCACCGGTAATGTCAGGGTTCGAATCACGGCAGTCCTAAATTTTTCAGGCTTCTTAGTTTCGCAAATTCATAAGTTGCGTCTTTCAAAAATGTGAATACGCAAGGATCTTCTCTGCATTGTTTCTTTATTCCGCAGTTGTAAAATATAAAATTCATGATTTTCATTAGATAGAGTAAGGTGGTGTTATAAAAAAGGTCGACTTAACAAAAAACGTCTGTTCCTGAATATTGATTTCCTAATGTGATAAAGCTCTAGTTGGTTCTTGCACACACGCACACACAAAAAACTCTGACTCCAGTTTGCGTGCTCTTCGCCTGACAAGTTCTAATAATTTTTGTATTTGCAAAATCCTGTGTTAAATCATTCTCGACAGCCCTGGTTCTTGATCAGCCTTGTTAGTGGACGCAAAACCCGCCAAAAACAGAGGCAGTAGCAAACAGCAACCAATTAAAACACACTTCACCCATTATTTTCTTTGTACAACATATCTCTGCAGTCTTTTATCCGACCGTTTATGTTTATTCATACAGATAAATGAACATACCATATATTTCCTTCCTTTCCCGCAATGATTTTTTAATAGATCCTTAAGCCTTTTACAACGACTTTTTAATGGAATTGTAATCACTGGTGGGCACAGAATGAAACAGTTCTTTCAAAAAAGCATTATCAATGTTAACGTTATGCTTAAGTATTTCCTGATGTAAAAATAGCAGATTACCAAAAAGGTGAAGAGGTTTATATGATTAGATTACGTTTTCGGTTTCAGATGATCTCCGCTGGAAAGTAAAAGCTGAGCTGACGGTCTCCTGTTGTTATCAGAAAATATTCGACGAGTTTGACACTTACGCTAGGCTAATTAAGTTACCGAATGCTAGAAAAAGCATGAAATGTATCTTCTTAGCATCTTTTTAACTGTAGTGGCTTTATTTTTAGTAGTAGCCATAACATGTTTTATCATTCCAGAACGTTTGGGCTCGTGGCAACACAGGAACTAGCGGGAAACATTTATAGAAACATATTTCTAGTTCTACCAACCGTAATACAGCAGATCATGAAATGGCCGGGAGTCGAAGGTTTCTGGGGGCTCACATAATTTGACAGCGGGGGTAAGGAAAAAAGGGGGGATCACTCAGCCATCTGAGAGGGATAGCGTCAAATATTGGTAAGTTCCAGTTTAATTTGTCGTAAGGGCTGTAAGGGTCTGCTGGAGGAAGAGAGTGTTAAGGTACCGTGTTCGGCATAGTATTTATACCAGTTTTCTTTTGTTAGTATCTCCAGAACTTGACTTTGCACTGACCACAATCCCTTGATTAGAAAAGACACCCCTTGCGTTCTAAAGAGGATTCAGACAAAGGCCTTTCACTGGCTTTGCTGCATGATTGGGATGATTGACAGCCCCTTAACTAGGTGCGAGCATCTTTGAAGTACTACTCGTGTAAAAGCATTTTCAACGTTTCAAAGTTAATTTTTACACTCACGATTTTGGCGCGAATTTAGAATTTCTTGGAATCCTACCTGGGATTGATCCGGGTGCTTGAGAAAATCTTTTTCCCTGTCTCCTTATTAACAGTTTGATTAAGTCGATAATAATATTGTTAAAAACAGAGTTTTCTGGAAAAAAAACAGCACTGACTAGTACTCTTCCCAGTCGTCTGTGGACGAGTTGGGCATAAATACGTCTCAGTTTACAGCGTCCCGTTTTTATACTAGTACTGAGACGGAAAAGTCCTCTCACAGACGGGTAAGTGCGTCCAAACGACGCACGCACCAGAAAATGTTGGTGTCCAGTCATCAGACTGGACACTGCGTCTTATTTACTGTTTTATACTAGACGTGAGAGTCGTCTTGAGGACTACTTTAACGTCTCAAACGGCTTAAACGTCTCTAGCATAAAAAATGCCAATTTCAATCAGTAACGTTCGTGTTCTCGACGGGGGAAGGGGAGAACAGTGAATTTTGAGAACTGCTAACGCCAATGACAGAGCCAGTGAGAAGGCGGCCGGGATCATGGAAATGCCGAAATCTCCGTAAGAGATTGTGTCAACAAAAATCCCCCGATCAATGTCAATTAAGAAATAATGATCGGTCCAAAAAGCAAGAGAAAATAAAGCTACAGCTTTCAGTTTCAATTTCATTTCCACTCTTGATCTTTAATTCGCTTTCCCTGCGGTTTACTTGCTGGCTTCAGAGGTCCGTTCTCAAAAAACCATCCATATCAGGAGTAAGGTATCGTCCCAGGGTACTTGCAGATAGTTTAACGCTTAATTTTTTGTCCCTTAGGTTACTTTAGCGGATCGACTCATTTGAACCCACATTTTCTCTCCGCATTAATTGGCTTTGTCTCGACTGTATTTTCTCGAATAAACGCCGTGGTTTTTCCATCTTTTATATAGAAAATTTAAAATATTTAAACCTCGTGCTGTGTTTGAAATTCAGAAGGTTCATTTACTGAACTTTAGAGCCTGCCAAGTACGATTTCTATTCTTTTATAAATAGTTGATTTCAACCATGTTAAATATGACAAATATCAGAGGAACAAATATTTGAACAGTCAAGCACAAAGCAAGTTTGTCGTTTTCTTTTCTACCCATTGTCCGAAACAAATAGATTCCATTGTTCCATGTTTTCTTACTTAGCCGGATCTCGTCTTCGGCTTCGTCAACAAGAGGTCTAGGTGCGAGATTAGTAAGCGATTGACATGAGAAAGAAACGGAAGTTCCAGTCGGAAGCTAAGCACAAATAGCAGATTGTATAAATTTGTTGCTTTGGATCTTCCTAGAATTATATATTTTATTATTAATTTGAAAGCTAAGAAAGAGGTGCCAAGGTATAATCAAGTTTCAACTTTACTTTTTCTCTCAAGCATGACGCGCTTTATAAAATGTACAAAAACTACTTTAAAATAAATAGCACTGCATGTATCGCAAAATTATCTTCCTTTAAAAATTAAAGTCCCAGTAGTGACCAAGGTCAATTTTCTCCTTAAAATATCAGTAAATGATCATGTGAAAAAGTTATGAGAGTTAATATAATGATCAACTAAGCAAAATGCTTTGATCTTTTTTCAAATTCACTCATCTAATTCTTTAAGGGAATGTATAAACATCGATATGAAGAATTTGAAGGTGGATATTATGGCTTAAAGGGTTAAAAAAAGATATGGAATATCAAATACACACTCAAGTAAATCAAATCATCTTTCTTTCTTTCTTTCTTTCTTCTTTGCCTTCGTTTGCTTTCATTTTCGTTTGTTATAAACCTTTTCACTATGACCATTCAAATGAAACCTTTTAGGCTAAGTATTTTCACATAATACTCTTCGTTTTTAGTTGAACAGTCAAAACATATATCATTTAACTATTTAAACAGATAACAGACAATAACTCTAAAAGTATTCAAGGTATAAATAGCCCCTATGCATGATTACGCCAGACGAGTAAATTTCACCAGCAAGCCTCGTTTGCGAACAAAATTTTTTGCATTTGCACTTTTTGTTCGTGCTTATTCTTTTCAACTCTACTGCTTTGGGAATTCATTTCTGTGAAACTTCGCTTATTTTTAATTTCAAAACGAGACTTGGTGGTGAAATTTGCTTGTGTGACGTAACAAGCATGAGGGCTATTGTGCCTTATGACGTTTCGCCTGGAAAATGCAAGGTCGCCAACTTAAGTATCTTTTGTGCAGCATTATATATCTTTATTCGATTGTAAAGCCCCGATGGCGCCAACGTCGTTGCATTTCATCCACTTATCGGCTGTTATTTGAGAGTATCCGCGGTCGTTATATACCATTCTCCCTGTCGCTTTGTTCTGTAACCTAAAATATTTTTCTCCACTAAAAATGTAGCTTCTCTGGTTTTTCCAAGTAACCGCTGCATCTATGTCCTTTTTTACTAGGCCCGGCCAACCTTGTCTAATCTCCCTTGGGTAATATGGATCTATACGTCGGTTTGCCTCGTTGTATCGCCAGTACTTTTTACCTTTGAAGAAGTACGTCTTTTTGTTTCGATGCCAAGTGAAGACTGCATCCATGTCGGTAAGGTCAGAGGACAGGCCATACCTGTCTAAACTGCCGGAACCGATGAGTCTCCTGTCATTACCGTATTCCCAATACCTGGCAAGCAATTACAATGGGAAGTGTTAGAAGAAGGCATCAGAGTAGAATTTAGTTTCTATAGTTCCTTTGTAGACAATTTAAAAAAACATATGAAATTGTAGCTTCAATCAGCGACAAAATTGTTTCGTCGAATCGGGTTATATATTTCGGGTACTTACTAAAGTAAACTTACTAAAGTCCCCTCTCTTCAGTCTTTACACTCAACCCGCAGCTAACGTTACTTTTTTTCCTGTTTTTATGTTTAATGTTTTTGTCGTTGTTGTGGTTGTTTTTTTTTTTTTTACAGATGATCAATATTGTTCAGGGGAAATGGGAGAATGAAAGTTTGAATTTGGATAAAGTCGGAAAGACGTTAAAAAAAAGGTCAATGAGGTCAGTGTCTCAGCCAATTTTGCCACCGATGGTAGATAGCTCAGGACTCGTGAAGTAAAGAGAAATAAGAATTGCTGCGTCTATCTCAAAAAATAAGAAATATTAAATCTGTAATAATTCTTGAAAATAACTTTGTGAGTGTGACTTCATGTAACAGAATGATAGTTTGAAATTTGAATTGGTGTACAATAGGCCAGACCGATCATTCTTCCTTGGCCATGTTCTACTTCAGTAGTCCGACGTTCAGTTAACTCGTAGTTCGTGTTTTAACAAATTAGCAACACTTGGCCGTTTTGAACTTGGATAATCACTTCGGTTCGTTTATCAAACTACAAATCGGAACATAACTCTGCCAAACTTGAAAATACAGGAATCTTACGATGACTAGAGCATTTCTATAACATTACTAGTAAGAGTAAGTCAAGGACATGAAAAACGCACAAAAAGCAGCAACGTCATGGTCACTTACTGATTTCCTGTAAAGAAGATGATATTTCCATTTCTATTGCGATACGCAGCATCTATGGGAGTGCGAACGTCGGGCCAGTAATCACTAACTCTCTTTGGCTCCCCTTTCTGCAACCTTTCATTAAGAGTCCAAAACATCTCTCTGTGAAAGAAATGAGTGTGGAACTTGCCGCGCCTGTCTCTCTCCATAACGACAGCATCGTATTTAGTTCCGGGTTTACATGCGGGGTGAATTGCAGTAGGGGTGGGGGGATCGGTCGGGGGTGGCTGTGTACTTGGTGTTGTCTTGGGTGCACGGGTTGGTTTCGTGGGCTTCGTCGTCTCTGGTCTCTTCGTCACGGGTCTCTTAACTGCAAAGAAGCAGATAACCATTAAACTTTTTGCAAGGATAAAGCGCCTATGTTCAATACTGTAGTTCACATCTGTTATTCACTATTTCATCATCTGATCATTTCATTTTCATCTTTTCCGAATATGTTTAATTACAAACCAAGTTAATAACCAGCTTAGCTTGGTTAGAGCGCTGCACAGGTAGCGCAGAAGTCAGTGTTTGAGAATTTCTATTCGCAGCTGCATGAGTTGCGTCTTTAGCTACGATGATCTTCTTTTCATTTCCGCGCTTCCAATATATGAAATTCATATATTTACCATTTCCCTGTAAAATTATTATCCCGTATACCTTCCTTGCTTTTATAAACCCTGTGCAATGATTAGATATTTTAATCAAAGGATGCAATCAAATATTTGATTTACCTGGATAGAGTGCCCGTATTCCCAAAATATCGTCGTTGGTCAGCTCAATATTAGAGCCCTGGTATCCTTTATACCATGGGTACATGACAGATTCTCGTACGTTGGAATGTTCTAATCCCAGACTGTGTCCGAACTCGTGAAGCGCCACCCAGTCCAAGTTTATACCGTCCTTCGTTCCTGTTGTAAAACGCTCTGCATCATCGAAGTGGGCGTCCCCTGACAGACCTGCAAGTGTATTTTTAACGTCGGTTATATCAGTTCGTCTTTAACAATGCAATCAACTGAAATACGTGTATTGTCGCTTGAGAATAGGACGTATCCATTCAAAGGGACTATGTCATTCTATTTTCTATCATTTCAAAATGCTAAAATTTGTCTTCACACCGATTGAATTTCAAAAACAATGGTCCAGTTTTGTTTATTTAAGACTACAATTATCATGATTTGGACACTGAAAATGTTTCTTGTTGTCTTTTGCAACGGATGGCAAAGAAGGACATTGATTGAAACTTGACTGAATACTAGTTGGCCAACTTTTTCAAGTCTTAATGCCCTATGCCTGCAAATGAATCAGATCATTCTAGGTGCCCCCTGATAAAAGCTGTTCGAAATCTTCTTGATAACTGTACAGAAGCTTTTTCATTTGTGTATTGGTTAATGGTGGGTAATGACTTTATCACAGAATTGACTTAAGATAGCAGTATCTTCGTGACATTAGCCCCTTTAATAGGTGGAGAAGACAGAAGTCAAGTGGTTAAGAAGCCTCTTCCATCCCTAAGCTAGCCTCTTCCAATGGGGACGGCGGAATCTTTTTATATAACTGTTACTGCGACGTACGAACCCGCTCAATTCTTCATGAATACTGTAGCTTGCGAAAATAGCCGTCTCTCCTCCCCCTCGCTGCTAGCGACGTTTCTTCAGGAGAAACGTCCCAAGCGGCGAGAAGCGAGGGGAGACTTATAGCACTGAAATTGTTTAATAGAGTTGTACTTTCAATCTTACCGCTGTTCTCAGTCAACTGAACGATTAAGGGATATAAAGCTTGTAAATACTATGTTTTTCGTAAAGCAAACAGCTTCGAATGTCGACGTGGTCTCTCCCTAAAGTCGAATACAGGGATGTAATGTGGTTGGAATAGGCTTAGCTACAAAAATTTCTAAAATGGCCTAAAATCAAATCAGGATTTACCTTAAACGTCTGAAAAACAACCTTCGTTTTTACCTCATAAAATCACATAAAAAGTAATAAAAGGACTGGGTAATTTGTGGTGGAAATTCTGTGCTCGAGCCCGCCATCAACTGACAGAGATGCAAGGAATGCTTGATTAAGGACAAAACTGTTGACCGATTGCGTGGGGGCTACAAAACTTTGCAAACAAAGGAGGGGTTCGGATCGCTTGTGGTGAAATTACACACTCAGTCTTTTATGTGACAGAAAAATATCAAGACATTAAATGTGTTCAGTTTTAAGGAACGGTGACGGAAAGAAATCATACGTAAGAGTGAGACTAAATCGTTACGTAAATATGCTTGTTAGAAAAAAATAGAAACCATAAAAAAAAACTGAAAAAGCTACCTCTCCATTAAGACTCCTATGTACCAACCTTGGTTGTTATGTGGATAGAAAGCGTGGGCCAAAGTCCCTCCTGTGCCATCAAACGGATACGGATCTCCATGGTAACCTTCCACAAATGAAATCAAAATGTCGACTTTATCGTCTGGTATTGAGGGGTCGGCCTCACGTATCGTAAGCGCACTAGCCTCGTCCCATTTGTGGATCATTCTTCGAATTATATTTTGTTGAACATCAACTGTAAGATCCCCTGTGCTCTTGCCTCTTACGAATCGGTAAGTCAAATACTAAACAAAGAAGAAATGAGAGTTTTAAGCACTTTCAAATGCCAACACAAGTTTTACACTAGCATTATAGCATTAGAATTAATAACCAGACTGGCGCCTGGGGTAGGTACTAGTAGGAATCTAAGGGATCACGTGACTCACTCCCATCCCCTCTCCTCTACGTTGAGTTTTGTACGTGCACCAGGATGAATCAAAGGCGCCCCACTTCACCGACAATAGTTATCTTGATTCAGTGAACCACAGACTCCCCTAGGCATTGAAAAATAATCAAATGATTTAGAAGGGCTAATTAACCTTCTAAACAGAATAATAAAAAAATACACCCCACCTTTCATTTCACCCTACAGTAGACAAATGTATGGTAAAAGAAACTACTAAAAAACTGGAAAAATCCGAATGTTGGGTGGTAAAATGGTCTTCGAGAAATGAAGGTTTTAAAGACATGACACGAAGGAGAAGACCCAAAGTCCTGAATAAAGAAGCTAAAATAGTTTTAAAGAAGGCTACAACAGTAAGCAGACCAAGGCTGGAGCAGGTTCATGGAAAGCGAAGGTTAGACGCCCCTGAGAGAGCGAAAAAACCTCTGCTTAGTCCGCCAAGTAACGATCAGCTCTTCTCAAATTTGTAAAGAAGTACAAAATCCTTACTGTGGAAAGAGACCGGCCGGGATGATTATCTTTTTTTGGATAAATGCCCAAAATATATAATAGATTTTTTTTTCAGCGGCCTAATCTAAAAAATATTTTTTGGAGGTCGAAGTGGCTCCTGCGTACCAGGTGATAAAAAATTAAGCGCATAATGGATCATCTGTGGTTCTACGCATTGCATCCCACTCTGATGCCGCAACGGCTACAGAATGTGATAAAAACAACAACAAAGGAGGTATGCCAATTACTTAACGTCTGAATACATGTACTCAGTAGAGCAATAAACATCTTCTAGAAATTTCTAGTAAAAATAAAGCTTTGGTCAAAAGTTATAGCGCATGAAACTAGACATTGGAAAGAACTTTTGGGACACCCTATCTTTTAGAGGAATGACCTATAAGTAAGTTTCAAGGACGAAATTTGTATCAGAGACCTTTGGAATCGAGGACAAGAACGACTAGGCTTACGAGATTTTATTTCAAGTTTTTTCGCGTATCGTCAAAAAATATAGACACCCTGGAATGTTTCATTGTACTTTTTTTCACCCGCAAAGTTAACACTGTTATCTTTATAATTATTGGAGCAGGTTATAAGCCCTCTCCCGGTCACAAAATTAAAACATTTATGTGTTTAACACTTGTTTCCGCCACTGCGACGCTCTCGCTAAAACCGCTAGTAGAATGACGGCTATCACGATTTCCCGCAAAATTACGCTGGTTCACGTGCGACCACTACTTCGTACTGAGGAAATCTCGTCCTCGTCTAGTCGTTCTCGTCTTCGAATCTAAAAGGTCTCTACTGTCGCCACTGCTAATTGCTCATCCAGAAACGCAGAATGCATGATTCTGATATCAACGGCAATGACTTACGCTTTATATTTTAAATAATCATTTCATTGTAGAACCTATGAAGGTGCGCTCGAGCTGGTTTCAGCGGGTTGATTGTAAAACCCACTACCTAAATTTTACGGGTGAAAACAGTACCGTCTTCTTCCAGAAAGTTCCTTGTAAGTAGAATTCGCCAACTTGATTCTGAATAGCTCCGACCCTCTTGACCTTCTTGACGGGATCTTTCATACCACATCGCTTAGTACCGATCAGTTTCAATGTTGCCTGATCAAGTTTCCCAGTCACAGGCAATCCACCGAATTTCTGGAGGTCCCTTATTGCCTTTTTGATGTGCAGAGTTGGCCGACTTTCGTCGGACCTCTCAACGATGTAACCGTATTTTAAAAAGAAATTCGCCGCCTGAAGCTGTAAAGAAAAGATAACAAAGAAATATAAACAATTATTATTCATTCAAAATATTTCCCCGATTCTGATTGGCTAAAAGCACACGTTTAATTCACCATAACCAGTTAGTGATGACCAAATTTGGAAGAATTTTGACTTTAACGAGGAAATGACGTCAAAAATGCAGCATTTTCGCAGGTTAAGGCACCGTTAACCGAGAAGACCTGGGGACGAGATTGAGTTGTTTTGGTTGTGAACTTGAAAAAATGGCGGACATTTCACTCGTTTCAAGAGTAAGAACTAGGCGAAAAAATAGCTAAAAACATGGCAAGAACAGCAAGAAGACAACTCGAAGGGCGACATCTGCTATTTGGAGAATATTTGCGGAGCTGGACAAACCTAAATGTACACTATCGAAGATGAACTGAACATCGATGGATCGATGGAGGTAAGCATGTTTTAGCTATGTTTTTAAACTAGGAATTATTTTGAATGAATAATAAAACAGTTATTGAATTCGGCTTTCGTTATCATATGAAGAATTATGGAGATCTCGGAGGGTGTTATCCGTCGAGGCCGTAGGCCGATCTCCATAATTCTTCATAAGATACTCAGCCTCATTCATTAACTGTTAAATATACAAATATAAACTGTTAATGAAATAGATAGATGTCGTTGTTGTCGCAAGAGTTTAGAACTGAGTTTATCAAGTTCTTTTCTTCCTTCTTTGGAGATGGAGAAGAGGGAGGTAGACTCTATGAGTCTCCCTTCCCTGAGACTTCGCGATGTAATTGAAACATGGGTCTAGTATTGTACAGTTTATAGGGGATTTTAAAAATTTTGCAGATCACCTCTCCCTCCACCCTTTCCCCAAACTTTATTAGACGCCCACCCGGACAAACCTTTCACCTCTACATTTTAACCCTGGTTTTAACTTAGTTGTAGAGTGGGCATCTCCCCTGCATTGTTTATTTCATCCCTAAATAGAGTCAGGATTTAGGATACTGGGCAGCACACAGCTATCCGAATATTAGGGGAGTTCTACCGGCAATAGTCGTCGTGTGACGATAGATTTTGCCCTTCCAAACTCATATCGAGGAAAAATAAGCGTAAAGGGAATTCGAGCGACTTCGGCGTGTAAACAACAAGGGGCAGAACTAACTCTGCAACTCGCTTGGCTAGCGGGAAATGAACTCGTCATTATTGCAAGGTACTAGGATCTGCAACAACTGGAAAACAGGACAGCGCTCAAACTTGGACTTAAACAGTTTAATCTTCAGCTCATGAACGTAGATCATACAGCCATTAGTGCATCCAAAATGTAAATCGTTCCGGCATGTAAATCCGCAACGTAAATTGAAAAACAGGGATAACAGTGCTCTATTTATACTAGCCGATCAGCTTATTACAACATCACAAAACAAATCGAACGAAAGCTGAATAAAATCAGCTGAACACCGAAAACAAATCCAGATAAATTCAGCTTTAAAGTTCATATGTTAAACCAAATGACTCAAAATTAAATGTCAGTCAAGCAAATGAATTTCTCAAATTTACAAAGAAAGCTGTGTAAAAGAATTCGAGTTTCCTTGTTCAGAATTCCTCAAAATGTCAAAACTGAAACTACAAACCGGGTTGGTATTTGAACAGGAGCCTGAGGTCCAGTTGTTCAGTGACTTAGCTCTATGATTATTCAGAAACTAATTTTCCTTTTAAAAGTTAGCATTGAAGTAAAATGTGTATAATTTAAAACAGAACGAGCAATTTTGTTTGTTAAGGAACACTGTTGTCTTTTCTACGATTATTACATGTACTTAGCGAAAACAAAGCAACTTAAACAAAGGACAATAAAATGGTACGTTCAGCCTTTTTGCGGAGCTAAAATATCTCAAAGCAAATTCAATATAAATCACGGCTAAACAACTTCATAAAACAAAATAACAATTTGTCGCAATGCAAGTTTCAACTCATCAGATCCTTTTACTTTATAAATTATCAAGTCATAGGAGAGACGCCACTAAGTAGCGTCTCTCCTATGACTTGTGTTGAAAATATTTTTCAAGCATTTCTTAGTTGCAACTTTGGTTAGAATCCTTACCTATGGTTCCACTTCTCGTAATGCAGACTCAATGTTATTGTTGTGGTACTGATAAATTTTAAACTGATGTGGTTCACTTCTGGGTCTAGCGAACACTAAATTTACACCATTTGAATAAAGCACTTTGGGACAAAATCGGTCGGAAGTTTATAACGTACAAAATGAACTAGCTGGTCTGTTTACAGACTCTATTTTCTCTTTTAGAGATCTGATCGTCCAATGCGCGTATGAAAACAAAAACCGCAAGGCAAACGGGAAAACGTGCTGTCTAATTCTGCTTATTGTCAGAAAACAAAGAAAAAACATTTGTGGTCAGGCTATGAAATAGCCTGATAGCAAGCTCTCTATTTAAGGGATATCGTGAAAGGTAGACACGCGAGCGGCACGCGCGTGAGAGGAGAAAAAGGCTAAAAATGAAATGAAATGGATCAAAAGTTTACCTTTTTGCTGGCTTCAGCAGTCCTTCTTGAAACCGGTGCGCTGCTAACGTTGTTCAGTAGAACAACAAGCGCAACTGTTCCAACGACAGCGCTAGAGAGCGTCTTCATTACGTGATTATGGGTATCGCCTAAAACCGCAGATTCACCGAGGTATCCAAATGCACTGATTTCCACGGTGAGAGAATTTTATCTTTCCCAAGCGCCAGCTGCATTTATAACAGACAATTATAAAATTATACAAGGGAGTACCCCCTCCCCCCTGGATAGAAATGCTGAAATCTCCGTAAGACATTGTCGCAACAAAAATCCCCCAATCAATGCAAGTAGGAAATAATTAGCGTGTCCCCAAAGCACGAGAGAATAAAGCTACAGCTTAAGTTTTAATTTCACTTTCACTCTCGAACTTTGCTCCCCCTGCAGTTTATAATTACTTACTGGCTCCAGGGGTCCGTTCTCAAAAAAACCTTCCATATCAGGAATAAGGCACCGTCCCAGGGTACTTGCAGATAGTTTAACGCTTAATTTTTTGTCCCTTGGGTTACTTGAGCCGATCGACTCATTCGAACGCATATTTTCTCTCCTCATTAATTGGTTTTGTCTCGACTGTATTTTGTCGAATAAATGCCGTGGTTTTTCCATCTTTTAAGTATAGAAAATTTAAAATATTAATTTAAACCTCGTGCTGTGTTTGGAATTCAGAAGGTTCATTGACTGAACTTTAGAGCCTGCCAAGTACGATTTCTATTCTTTTATAAATAGTTGATTTCAACCATATTTAATATGACAAATGTCAGCGGAACAAATATTTGAACAGTCAAGCACAAAGCAAGTTTGTCGTTTTCTTTTCTACCCATATTGTCCGAAACAAATAGATTCCATTGTTCCGTGTCTAGCCAGTTCAGTCGTAGTCTGCTACACAGCCGTTTTTAGCGTCACGCAACGCTCCTCCCCACTTTACTACGTTCAGTCATAAATCACACAAAATGTCGGCAATGTTGACACACCCGCCTGGGGCTCGTGGGCTATTGTTTTGTTCCTAAGCAACATTTTAACGTCACCTGTGAACATTTATAAGAATATCAAGGCAAAAAAAGGCGAAATGTTAAGAATATCTTAAAAATAAACCCAAGGCTAAAACTTTAAAAAAGACATAATTTTGTATGTTGAAATCTGTATTTACAATACCAATATATATGTTTTTAACCTAATCCTTTCTCTAAACAGCAAAACTAGCCAACAAAACGAGAAAACCTGCACTAACTATACTGATTCATACCCCAATATATTCTAAAACGGAAATGTCATATGCATAATTTAAGAATAATACAAGAATATTTTCAGCCTAAAATCGGCAGAAAAATAAGATCATTCAGCCAGGGCTGGAAAAACAACATTCTTATAGAGAAAAAAAGAGTGTAACGGTAAAATGGCCGGAGTAAACAGCAGTTACAGCTATTACAAAACATTTAAAAACGTAAGATAAGATCACGAAATAGCTTAAACTTAAAGAACCCACAACGACCCTTGGGCCACGCCGGGCTATCCGTCTTTTCGGACAGAAACAGACAGGTCGACAGGATAACATATTATATGATGTAAATGATCAATCTCGTACTCAGATCTCTTATTGGTGAAGCCGAAGGCGAGATCTGGTCAAATCCGATTTTGTACACGTGATTGCCTGTCAGGAAAGTGACAGGCCATGAAAGAGCGCATCCTCGGATAAATCCTAAGTTTTCTACGTGTTATAAAAACAAAGAACTTGATAGAGCCGTGGAGATAAAAGTTTTCTCTCACGAAACGTGGTTATACGCACATCCACATCTTAAGTATGAACCTTAAGTATGAACGATAAAAATGGTTTTACAAGTTATATTGAGCAGGATAACTACTTCTTCAGTGAAATATTTACTTAAACAGAACTAAAGACCTTGCAAAGAATGAAATGGCACACGCCACAGAGCGCGCAGATAACAACACTCACATTAAGTCAATCTAGCCACTCAAAAAAATTGAATTTTCTTACTTAGCCAGATTTCGCCTTCGGCTTCGTCTAGGTGCGAGATTAGTAAGTGATTGACAGAAATGGGAAAGAAACGTAAGCTCCAGTCGGAAGCTAAGCACAAAAAGCAGATTGTATAAATTTGTTGCTTTGGATCTTCCTAGAATTATATATTTTATTATTAATTAGAAAGCTAAAAAAGAGGTCCCAAGGCAACGGTATAATCAAGTTTCAACTTTATTTTTTCTCTCAAGCATGACGCGCTTTATGAAATGTACAAAAACTACTTAAAAATAAATAGCACTGCATGTATCGTAAAATTATCTTCCTTTAAAAATTAAAGTCCACGTAGTGACCAAGGTCAATTTTCTCCTCAAAATATCAGTAAATGATCATGTGAAAAAGTTATGAGAGTTAATATAATGATGAACTAAGCAAAATACTTTGATCTTTTTTCAAATTCACTCATCTAATTCTTTAAGGGAATGTATAAACATCCATATGAAGAATTTGAATGTGGATATTATGGCTTAAAGGGTTAAAAAAAAGATATGGAATATCAAATACACATTCAAGTAAATCAAATCATCTTTCTTTCTTTCTTTCTTTTTTCTTTGCCATTCGTTTGTTTTCATTTTCGTTTGTTATAAACCTTTTCACTATGACCATTCAAATGAAACCTTTTCGGCTAAGTATTTTCACATAATACTCTTCGTTTTTAGTTGAACAGTCAAAACATATATCATTTAACAATTTAAACGGAGATAACAGACAATAATTCTAAAAGTATTCAAGGTATAAATAGCCCCTATGCATGATTACGCCAGACGAGTAAATTTCACCAGCAAGCCTCGTTTGCGAACAAAATTATTTGCATTTGCTCTTTTTGTTCGTGGGTATTCTTTTCAACTCTACTGCTTTGGGAATTCATTTCTGTGAAACTTCGCTTATTTTTAATTTCAAAACGAGGCTTGGTGGTGAAATTTGCTTGTGTGACGTAAACATGCATGAGGGCTATTGTGCCTTATGACGTTTCGCCTGGAAAATGCAAGGTCGCCAACTTAAGTTTCTTTTGTGCAGCATTATATATCTTTATTCGATTGTAAAGCCCCGATGGCGCCAACGTCGTTGCATTTCATCCACTTATCGGCTGTTATTTGGGGGTATCCGCGGTCGTTATATACCATTCTCCCTGTCGCTTTGTTCTGTAACCTAAAATATTTTTCTCCACTAAAAATGTAGCTTCTCTGGTTTTTCCAAGTGACGGCTGTATCTATGTCCTTTTTGACTAGGCCCGGCCAACCTTGTCTAATCTCCCTTGGGTAATATGGATCTATACGTCGGTTTGCCTCGTTGTATCGCCAGTACTTTGTACCTTTGAAGAAGTACGTCCTTTTGTTTCGATGCCAAGTGAAGACTGCATCCATGTCGGTAAGGTCAGAGGACAGGCCATACCTGTCTAAACTGCCGGAACCGATGAGTCTCCTGTCATTACCGTATTCCCAATACCTGGCAAGCAATTTCAATGGGAAGTGTTAGAAGAAGGCATCAGAGTAGAATTTAGTTTCTACAGTTCCTTTGTAGACAATTAAAAAAAACAGATGAAATTGGAGTTTCAATCAGCGACAAAATTGTTTCGTCGAATGGGGTTATATATTTCGGGTACTTACTAAAAAAAACGCATCAAATTAGCAAAATTGTTTGCATAGTCCCTCTCTTCAGTCTTTACACTCAACCCGCAGGTAACGTTACTTTTTTTCCTGTTTTTATGTTTAATGTTTTTGTTGTTGTTATTTTTTTTTACAGAGGTTTCAATATTGTTCAGGGGAAATGGGAGAATGAAAGTTTGAATTTGGATAAAGTCTAAAAGACGTTAAAAAAAAGTCAATGAGGTCAGCGTCTCAGCCAATTTTGCCACCGATTCTAGATAGCTTAGGACTCGTGAATTAAAAAGAAATGGGAATTGCTACGTCTATCTCAAAAATAAGAAATATTAAGTCTGTAATAAATCTTGAAAATAACTTTGTGGGTGTGACTTCATGTAACAGAATGATAATTAGAAATTTGAATTGGCGTACAATAGGCCAGACCGATCATTCTCTCTTGGCCAGACCTACTTCAGCAGTCCGACGTTCAGTTAACTCGTAGTTCGTGTTTTAACGAATTAGCAACACTTGGCCGTTTTGAACTTGGATAATCACTTCGGTTCGTTTATCAAACTACAAATCGGAACATAACTCTGCCAAACTTGAAAATACAGGAATCTTACGATGGACTACAGCATTTCTATAACATTATTAGTAAGAGTAAGTCAAGGACATGAAAAACGCACAAAAAGCTGCAACGTCATGGTCACTTACTGATTTCCTGTAAAGAAGACGATGTTTCCTTTTCTATTGCGATACGCAGCATCTATGGGAGTGCGAACATCGGGCCAGTAATCACTAACTCTCTTTGGCTCCCCTTTCTGCAACCTTTCATTAAGAGTCCAAAACATCTCTCTGTGAAAGAAATGAGTGTGGAACTTGCCGCGCCTGTCTCTCTCCATAACGACAGCATCGTATTTAGTTCCGGGTTTACATGCGGGGTGAATTGCAGTAGGGGTGGGGGGATCGGTCGGGGGTGGCTGTGTACTTGGTGTTGTCCGGGGTGCACGGGTTGGTTTCGTGGGTTTCGTCGTCTCTGGTCTCTTCGTCACTGGTCTCTTAACTGCAAAGAAGCAGATAACCATTAAACTTTTTGCAAGGATAAAGCGCCTATGGTCAATACTGTAGTTCACATCTGTTAGTCACTATTTCATCATCTGATCATTTCATTTTCATCGTTTTCGAATATGTTTAATAACAAACCAAGTTAATAACCAGCTTAGCTTGGTTAAAGCGCTGCACAGGTAGCGCAGAAGTCAGTGTTTGAGGATTACTATTCGCAGCTGCATGAGTTGCGTCTTTAGCTACGATGATCTTCTTTTCATATATTTCTTCATTCCGAGCTTCCAATATATGAAATTCATATATTTACCATTTCCCTGTAAAATTATTATCCAGTATACCTTCCTTGCTTTTATAAACCCTACGCAATGATTAGATATTTTAATCAAAGGATGCAATCAAATATTTGATTTACCTGGATAGAGTGCCCGTATTCCCAAAATATCGTCGTTGGTCAGCTCAATATTAGAGCCCTGGTATCCTTTATACCATGGGTACATGACAGATTCTCGTACGTTGGAATGTTCTAATCCCAGACTGTGTCCGATTTCGTGAAGCGCCACCCAGTCCAAGTTTATACCGTCCTTCGTTCCTGTTGTAAAACGCTCTGCATCATCGAAGTGGGCGTCCCCTGACAGACCTGCAAGTGTATTTTTAACGTCGGTTATATCAGTTCGTCTTTAACAATGCAATCAACTGAAATACGTGTATTGTCGCTTGAGAATAGGACGTATCCATTCAAAGGGACTATGTCATTCTATTTGCTATCATTTCAAAATACTAAAACCTGTCTTCACACCAATTGAATTTCAAAAACAATGGTCCAGTTTTGTTTATTTAAGACTACAATTATCATGATTTGGACAGTGAAAAAGTTTCTTGTTGTCTTTTGCAACGGATGGCAAAGAGGGACATTGATTGAAACTTGACTGAATAGTTGGCCAACTTTTTCAAGTCTTAATGCCCTATGCCTGCGAATGAATCAGATCATTCTAGGTGCCCCCTGATAAAATCTGTTTGATATCTTCTGGATAACTCTACAGGAGCTTTTTTGTTTGTGTATTGGTTAATGGTAGGTAATGACTTTATCACAGAATTGACTTAAGATAGCAGTATCTTCGTGACATTAGCCCCTTTGATAGGTGGAGAAGACAGAAGTCAAGTGGTTAAGAAGCCCCTTCCATCCCTAAGCTGGCCTCTTCCAATGGGGACGGCGGAATCTTTTTATATAACTGTTACTGCGACATACGAACCCGCTCAATTCATCACGAATACTGTAGCTTGCGAAAATAGCCGTCTCTCCTCCCCCCTTGCTGCTAGCGACGTTTCTTCATGCAGGAGAAACGTCCCAAGCGGCGAGAAGCGAGGGGAGACTTATAGCACTGAAATTGTTTAATAGAGTTGTACTTTCAATCTTACCGCTGTTCTCAGTCAACTGAACGATTAAAGGATATAAAGCGTGTAAATACTATATGTTTTTCAAACAGCTTCGAATGTCAACCTTATCTCTCCCTAAAGTCAAATACAGGGATGTAATGTGGTTGGAATAGGCTTGGCTACAAAAATGTCTAAAATGGTCTAAAATCAAATCAGGATTTACCTTAAACGTCTGAAAAACAACCTTCGGTTTTACCTCTAAAAATCACATAAAAAGTAATAAAAGGATTGGGTAATTTGTGGTGGAAATTCTGTGCTCAAGCCTGCCATGAACTGACAGAGATGCAAGGAATGCTTGATAAAGAACAAAACTGTTGGCCGATTGCGTGCGGGCTACAAAACTTTGCAAACAAAGGCGGGGCTTTGGATCGCTTGTAGTGAAATTACACACTCAGTCTTTTATGTGACAGAAAAATATCAAGACATTAAATGTGTTCAATTTTGAGCAACAGTGACGGAAAGAAATCATACGTAAGAGTGAGACTAAATCGTTTCGGTAAATATGCTTGTTAAAAAAAAAATAGAAACCAAAAAAAAAACTGAAAAAGCTACCTCTCCATTAAGACTCCTATGTACCAACCTTGGTTGTTATGTGGATAGAAAGCGTGGGCCAAAGTCCCTCCTGTGCCATCAAACGGATACGGATCTCCATGGTAACCTTCCACAAATGAAATCAAAATGTCGACTTTATCGTCTGGTATTGAGGGGTCGGCCTCACGTATCGTAAGCGCACTAGCCTCGTCCCATTTGTGAATCATTCTTCGAATTATATTTTGTTGAACATCAACTGAAAGATCCCCTGTGCTCTTGCCTCTTACGAATCGGTAAGTCAAATACTAAAAAAAGAAGAAATGAGAGTTTTAAGCACCTTCAAATGCCAACAAGAGTTTTACACTAGCACTATAGCATTAGAATTAATAACCAGACTGGCGCCTGGGGTAGGTAATAATGGGAATCTAAGGGATCACGTGACTCACTCCCATCCTCTCTCTCCTAACTTGCGTTTTGTACGTGCACCAGAATGAATCAAAGGCGCCCCAGTTTACCGACAATAGTTATCTTGATACAGTGAACCACAGACTCCACTAGGCATTGAAAAATAATCAAATGATTTAGAAGGGCTAATAAACCTTCTAAACAGAATAATAAAAAAATACACCCCACCTTTCATTTCACCCTACAGTATACAAGTGTTTGGTAAAAGATACTGCTTGGGTGGTAAAATGCTCTTCGAGAAATGAAGGTTTTAAAGACAAGAAACGAAAGGGAAGACCCAAAATCCTGAATAAAGCCGCTAAAATAGTTTTAAAGAAGGCTACAACAGTAAGCAGACCAAATCTGGAGCAGGTTCATGGAAAGCGGAGGTTAGACGCCCCAGAGAGAGCAAAAAAACCTCTGCTTAGTTCGCCAAGTAACGATCAGCGCTTCTCAAATTTGTAAAGAAGTACAAAATCCTTACGGTGGAAAGAGACCGGGATGATTATCTTTTTTTGGATAAAAAAAAATATATAGATAGATATTCAAAAAGTTATAACGCATGAAACTAGAGGAAAGAACTTTTGGGACACCCTATATTTTAGAGGAATGACCTATAAGTAAGTTTCAAGGACGAAATTTGTATCAGAGACCTTTGGAATCGAGGACAAGAACGACTAGGCTTACGAGATTTTATTTCAAGTTTTTTCGCGTATCGTCAAAAAATAGACACCCTGGAATGTTTCATTGTACTTTTTTTCACCCGCAAAGTTAACACTGTTATCTTTATAATTATTGGAGCAGGTTAAGCCCTCTCCCGGTCACAAAATTGAAACATTTATGTGTTAATATAACTGTTTAATACTTGTTTCCGCCACTGCGACACTCTCGCTAAAACCGCTAGTAGAATGACGACGGCTATCACGATTCCCGCAAAATTACGCTGGTTCACGTGCGACCACTACCTCGTACTGAGGAAATCTCGTCCTCGTCTAGTCGTTCTCGTCTTCGAATCTAAAGGTCTCTACTGTCGCACTGCTCATTGCTCATCCAGAAACGCAGAATGTATGATTCTGACATCAACGGCAATGACTTACGCTTTATATTTTAAATAATTATTTCATTATAGAACCTATGAAGGTGCGCTCGAGCTGGTTTCAGCGAGTTGATTGTAAAACCCACTACCTAAATTTTACGGGTGAAAACAGTACCGTCTTCTTCCAGAAAGTTCCTTGTAAGTAGAATTCGCCAACTTGATTCTGAATAGCTCCGACCTTCTTTACGGGATCTTTCACACCACATCGCTTTGTACCGATCAGTTCCAATGTTGCCTGATCAAGTTTCCCAGTCACAGGCAATCCACCGAACTTCTGGAGGTCCATTATTGCTTTTTCGATGTGCAGAGTTGGCCGACTTTCGTTGGACTTCTTTTCGATGTAACCATATTTTAAAAAGAAATTCGCCGCCTGAAGATGTAAAGAAAATAGAACAAAGAAATATAAACAAATATGCAAAATAATGTAAACAGTTAATGAAATACTAGATAGATGTCGTTGTTGTCGCAAGTATTTAGAGCTAGGTAGACTCTCCCTTCTCTGAGACTTCGCGATATAAATGAAGCATGAGTCTAGTTTGTACAGTTTATAAGGGATCACCTCTCCCTCCACCCTTTCCCTAAACTTTTATGGGACGCCCACCCGGACAATCTCGTGACCCCTATGTTTCAACCCTGGTTTTAACTTAGTTGTAGAGTGGGCATCTCCCCTGCATTGTTTATTTCATCTTTAAATAGGGTTAGGATTTAGGACACTGGACGGCACACAGCTATCCGAAAATTAGGGTAGTTCTTCCGGCTCTAGTCGTCTGCATACCCTTCAGCAAGGCCGCGGCCCCCCCTCCTTCAAAAAACTGAAAGAAACGGAAAAACTGTATACCCGAAATAACTAGTAATTTCAGCCGAAAGATACCATACGCGATTCAAAAAAAGACGTGTGGTAGACGATATGGTCGATATGACTTTAAACTCAAGCGGACATGACACAGAGTATAAAATAAACATTAGGTTCAACTTCAACAGATCCTTTTACTTTATAAATAATCATTAGTCATGGGAGAGACGTCACTGCAGTACTGAGTAGCGTCTCTCCTATGACTTGTGTTGAAAATATTTTTCAAGCGTTTCTTAGTTGCTGAAGTTTGTTAGAATCCTTAACTATGGTTCCCTTTCTCGTAATGTTATTGTTTTGGTACTGATAAAATTAAAATTGATGTGGTTCACTTCAGGTATAGCGTACGCTAAACTGACACCATTTAAATAAGACACTTTGCGACAAAATCGGTCGGAAGTTTATAACGTACAAAATGACATAGCTAGCCTGTTTACAGAGTCTCTATTTTCTCGAGCGCGCGTATGAAAACAAAAAACCGTTGGGCAAACGGGTAAACGAGCTGTCTAATTACCAAAAAACAAAGAAAAAACATCGGTGGTCAGGTTTTGAGTCGAAATAGCCTGCTTGCAAGCTCTCCATTTAAGGGATATCGTGAAAGGTAGACGCGCGAGCGGCACGTGAGAGGAGACAAAGGCTAAAAATGAAATGAAATGAAATGGATCAAAAGTTTACCTTCTTTTTGGCCTCAGCAGTCCTCCTTGAAACCGGTGCGCTGCTAACGCAGTTCAGTAGAACAACAAGCGTAACTGTTCCAACGACAGCGCTACAGAGCGTCTTCATTACGTGATTATGGGTATCGCCTATAACTGCAGATTCACCGAGGTATCCAAAAAGCACTGATTTCCACGGGTGAGAGAATGTCGATCTTTGCCAAGTGCCAGCTGTATTTATAATCGACAATTTAGGCGTCGCCCTGACCTGTCACCTAGAATTGACGTTCGAGAGAAACGTGACCCGGATTTTCTGCAGGAAGCTGTCGAAACACCTCTACAAAACACGTATTTAAGAGATGATGCGTCATTAACAACTTCCAGACCAGACTACCGGTGTGTCTGGGTGTCTGTTGAGGGGAGAGGGGTGCACTGAACTTAAACAGGGAGAATGAACGTCTCATGTCTTGAACAGGATATCGCCCGGGGGGGAGGGGTACTCCTGGGAATTCTCGCTGGGGGTGTGCCGGTCGACCCTATTTCAGACCAACTTGAAATGTCATTTTCCACACCCGTTTTCAGACCTGGAAGAGATCACAAAACGCAACATGTTTACAAAGACAGAAATGATAACATCATTACTCAGATTAGAACGCCGACAAAAAGATTTCTTAAAATTCATTTTGAATTCGCATACTAGTTGTGAGGTTATTTCTTATTCATTTGCAACCATTCGACAAATATGTTCATACGCCACCGTAGCTCCCTCGAAAACTATACCCGTTTTCAGACCAAAACGGCGCAAAAAACCATACCCGCCCCCTCCCCCAACGGGACTATCGCAATAAATGGTACTTTGGCAAGGGTTCGAAGGCCTTAGCGGCATTTCCACAAATGAAATCAAAATGTCGACTTTATCGTCTGGTATTGAGGGGTCGGCCTCACGTATCGTAAGCGCACTAGCCTCGTCCCATTTGTGAATCATTCTTCGAATTATATTTTGTTGAACATCAACTGTAAGATCCCTTGTGCTCTTGCCTCTTACGAATCGGTAAGTCAAATCCTAAAAAAAGAAGAAATGAGAGTTTTAAATACTATATGTTTTGTGAGTTTGGGGTTGGTACTAGTGGGAATCTAAGGGATCACGTGACTCACTCCCATCCCCTCTCCCCTACGTTGCGTCAACAATGAATCAAAGGCGCCCCACCTCACCGACAATAGTTATCTTAATTCAGTGAACCACAGACTCCTCCAGGAATTGAAAAATAATCAAATGATTTAGAAGGGCTAATTAACCGTCTAAACAGAATAATAAAAAAAAATACAGTAGACAAAGTGTTTGGTAAAAGAAACTGCTAAAAAACTGGAAAAATCCGAATGTTGGGTGGTAAAATGGTCTTCGAGAAATGAAGGTTTTAAAGACAAGAAACGAAGGGGAAGACCCAAAGTCCTGAATAAAGCAGCTAAAGTAGTTTTAAAGAAGGCTACAACAGTTAGCAGACCAAGTCTGGAGGAGGTTCATGGAAAGCGAAGGTTAGACGCCCCTGAGAGAGCAAAAAAACTTCTGCTTAGTCCGCGAAGTAACGATCAGCTCTTCTCAAATTTGTAAAGAAGTACAAAATCCTTACTGTGGAAAGAGACCGGCCGGGATGATTATCTTTTTTTGGATAAATGCCCAAAATATAAGGATATATATATATATTTTTAGCGGCCTAATCTAAAAAATATTGTTTGGGGGTCGAAGTAGCTCCTGCGTACTAGGTGATAAAAAATTAAGCTCGTAATGGATCATCCGTGGCTTTACGCACTGTATCCCACTCTGATGCCGCAACGGCTACAGAATGTGATAAAAAAACAACAACAAAGGAGGCATACTAGTTACTTAACGTCTGAATACATATTCTCAAAGGAGCAATAAACATCTTCTAGAAATTTCTAGTAAAAATAAAGTTTTGGTCGAAAACTATAGCGCATGAAACTAGAGGAAAGAACTTTTGGGACACCCTATATTTTAGAGGAATGACCTATAAGTAAGTTTCAAGGACGAAATTTGCATCAGAGACCTTTGGATTCGAGGACGAGAACGACTAGGCGTACGAGATTTTATTTCAAGTTTTTTCGCGTATCGTCAAAAATAGTCACCCTGGAATGTTTCATTGTACTTTTTTTCACCAGGAAAGTAAACACTGTTATCTTATAATTATTGGAGCTTGTTAAGCCCTCTCCCGGTCACAAAATTAAAACATTTATGTGTTTAATACTTGTTTCCGCCACTGCGACACTCTCGCTAAAACTGCTAGTAGAATGATGACGGCTATCACGATTTTCCTCAAAATTACGCTGGTTCACCTTCGACCACTACTTCGCTCTGAGGAAATCTCGTCCTCGTCTAGTCGTTGTCGTCTTCGAATCAAAAGGTCTCCTCTGTCGCCACTGCTCATTGCTCATCCAGAAACGCAGAATGCATGATTCTGATATCAACGGCAATGACTTACGCTCTATATTTTAAATAATTATTTCATTATAGAACCTATGAAGGTGCGCTTGAGCTGGTTTCAGCGGGTTGATTGTAAAACCCACTACCTAAATTTTACGGGTGAAAACAGTACCGTCTTCTTCCAGAAAGTTCCTTGTAAGTAGAATTCGCCAACTTGATTCTGAATAGCTCCGACCTTCTTGACCTTCTTGACGGGATCTTTCACACCACATCGCTTTGTACCGATCAGTTTCAATGTTGCCTGATCAAGTTTCCCAGTCACAGGCAATCCACCGAACTTCTGGAGGTCCATTATCGCTTTTTCGATGTGCAGAGTTGGTCGACTTTCGTTGGACTCCTTTTCGATGTAACCATATTTTAAAAAGAAATTCGCCGCCTGAAGATGTAAAGAAAATAGAACAAAGAAATATAAACAAATATGCAAAATAATGTAAACTGTTAATGAAATACTAGATAGATGTCGTTGTTGTCGCAAGTATTTAGAGCTATATTTCCTTCCCTAGAGATGGAGATGAGGGAGGTAGACTCTCCCTTCTCTGAGACTTCGCGATATAAATGAAGCATGAGTCTAGTGTTGTACAGTTTATAAGGGATCATCTCTCCTTGCACCCTTTCCCTAAACTTTCATTAGACGCCCACCCGGACAATCTCGTCACCCCTTTGTTCAACACTGGTTTTAACTTAGTTGTAGAGTGTACATCTCCCCTGCATTGTTTATTTCATCTTTAAATAGGGTCAGGATTTAGGACACTGGACGGCACACAGCTATCCGAAAATTAGGATAGTTCTTCCGGCTCTAG